ACTGAAAGAGGAAGAGTAGCCTTGTAAAAGCTACGCCCCTTATTTCAGTCAGTAACTCGTCGATCATTTCTATTTTTCGCATATGTCCTTGATAGTGCCAAAATCTAGTCTTAACAACAGTACGAGCAGTGACATTCCCAGCGCCACTACTTGGGCTTGGCTGCGGCACCATTTTTGCCGCGAAGGTGGTGGGACCAGGGGTTACCGTACGGTTGTTCAAGATCACGCATTGAGATAGTTCTCCTTACGGTAGATGATGTCCTGCTCCTGAACCACGCATGTGCGTGAAAAAGTAGTAGTAGTAGATGTGGTAGATCTAGATGTCCTTATGGTTGTTCTACCAGAGGAGGAGGACCTCTTGTACGCATGAAGATTGAGTCCTTTCTTTGGTAGAACAAGTTCTGCTCCTCATGGCGGTTCTCCTCTTCGTCAATGTCCTCGTACAAGACAAATCACGTGGTCTCTGAACATCAAGTAGGAACACAACAGGCCCACCACGTCGTCGCTGAAGTGATGGTGCTCGTCTAGCAGCTACTAGTGCTCATTGCAAAGTTATACTTACGTCAGAGGTCGCTCTTAGTTTGCGAAGTCGTGAGGGCAAACAACCCCCTAGAGCGGTCACGGTGTTCTTTCCTAATGTCCGAGTCGGCTTCTTCTCTCCATCATCTTCTGTTAAGGACTGGTACAATAATGCGGGCGCTAGGCGGGATGTTGATGCTCTTCAAGTTCAAGCCCTTTTATAGAAGATCATTCTTCCTCTACAAGATGAGAAATTCTCTGACTCAACCACTTTCATCAGGCATCATCGGTAGCAGAAGGAGGACCATCTCCTCGTCCTCTCAGGAGGACTTTGAAAGACCACGTCACGAGGCTGAGGTAGAAGTAGAAGGAAAAAGAATGTTGAAGTGCCTTTGGGTTTGCTTCTTATGTACTATTCACGCCCTGCTCCTGACTGGTCCCATTACAATTCCCGCAATGTTTTCCGTGGTTTTGCGACCTCTTTTTTTCTCGATCATGAGCAACTTTGCGCTTCCTCTGTTAGTAGTCTCCGTCTGACAACGCAGTGCCAGATAGAGCTAGAAGCTAGTACCGATTGTACTATACAACTCAGCTAAAGCACAACAAGGAAGTCACAGATTTCATCTTGCACTTGGAATTCTGCGTAATCGTCTCCGCACTTCGTCGTTTTCGTCGTCGTAGTGAGAGTTGTGATGATCTCGTAATCTCCGCTGCACTACAAGTTCCCGTGCCACACTGGTTCGCTCTCTACAACAAGAATCGCGAAAGACTCGGAGTTGTTCGAAAAAGGTCATTTTTCTTCATCTTTCTTATGACCACAACCATAGCAGGTATAGGAAAATCTACTTACTTGATGTACTGGACGTCGAACAACTAGAACTACTACGTACAGCCTACTTTTACAAGTGGTACTTTCTCGTCCGCTTCTTGTTATCACAAGGAATCCACAGCCAAACTCTTGCTGTTCATGTTTACATTCGACATCCTACTGGAAATCGTCCTCTACTTGTGAGATTGCGGACCACCAGCGTTTTTAAAAACATCATTCATCTTCTCTTCCAGCAGTGGTGCTTTTGTCTCCACGAAATCGCTCGACTATTGTTTGGTTATCTCTCGGCCTTTTCCTTACTCTCTATGCAGAGAGAGAGACCTGACTTGACATCAGCATCTCCTAGATTATAGGGATATTTTTCTCACGATCTTCGGAATAAGTGAATTTCCTTTCCCACTCTGCTTCATTGATCTGCCTTTCCGATGTCCGTAAATGAATATGGACATCATATACTCTACCTTCTTGGGGTAGTTCGAGGACATCTTAATACAGCCACAGAAAGACTGAGGGACAATTTAATACTCAACATATACTTAATCTGTTTGCTCCGTGTCAAGGTGAGAGAATGGTCAAATCCGATACAGCCAGTTGGTGGCTGAGGCTTTGCTGGACTTGTTTAGTTGCTAAAAATGTACAAAGTATTTGCAATGATGATATGATATTGTTCTTCATCTTAGCTCCAGTTCCAGTCCTGCTGTTCTACTTCATTTTTCACACCAAGTATGTCTAAGTTGTAAACGGAATGGCGAACTACATCAGCATCACGGTAAATTTAAAGATAAAGATTCTGCAATTGAAAAAAGACACGGCTTCTCATGAAATATTTCTTGCTTTTACGAGTATTTTCGTCGCCAGCAAGAAGAAGAAGAAGAACGTCATTATCGTTAATCATGCACTGGAATCTCTCTCGTGGTCCCCGTTGAGGTGCATTCGAGATTCCGCCGTTGCAACATTCTTCGGAACATCCTTCACTTCTTTTGTTTTTCTATTGGAGAAAATTCAACTAAGGACTGCAAAAATCCGGACAAAATTCAATCTTCTCGGGCATGATATGAATCCGCAGAACACTCGCCGCCTACTGCGCCCCCTTCTGGAAAACCCTCACCCAATTGCGAGCCAAGAACCTCGGGCGCCCTCCAAATCCCCGCGCCCCTCCAGAATCCCCCAGCACACATCTGCAGGCTGGTGCGGTGGACTCTGGAGGGGCGCGGGGAATCACATGAAACGAAACCAAAAGACAGAAAAACCAAGAGGAAGCAAGTTGCAAAAGCCGCTAAGCGGAGCACTTCCAGGACGAGGAGGCGACAATAGTGACCGTTTTTGTGCAGTTCTTAGTTGACTTAGCGCCATTCTAATCAGCCATCTGCGGAAGCACCAGAGGCACAGCGAGCACGCCACACCATCGAAACTTAACAAAAAGAGGAGGCGCGAGCCCTTTGGAACTCAAGCGGCAACCGGTCCAGCCCTTCTTGAGAAATGCCACGAAATTGAATAAACCTCTCTATTGTTTGCCGCTTTCCTGCTCGCAAGGCCATTTTTGGAAAAAAATCTGAAGACATCTTTTCACTTTTTTCATCAAAAATGGCCTAGCGAGCAGGAAAGCGGCAAACAATAGAGAGGTTTATTCAATTCTGGCGAAACCCCCGCAAACTTCCCCGCTGAAATACTTCAAAAGAGTGCGAACAACGCCAGCAAACCCCCCCGACAATCTGCGCACAAACGGCGGCGCGCGTGAGTGGTCTGACCATTTGAAGGCGGCAGCGCGTCGCTTCTCTTTGTAACTAATCCCACCCGGCGCGAGAGCTTCGGGGCGCCGGGTGGTCAAAAGTCCAACACTTAACAACATGAAAAGACCCAAGAACGAAGAACCTCGGGCGGAGTGTCTCAAACCTTTCCGATTATGGCGAAAAATTCGACCACAGACAAGTGGAGTTAGAATGGAGAAAATTCAACTAAGGACTGCAAAAATCCGGACAAAATTCAATCTTCTCGGGCATGATACGAATCCGCAGAACACTCGCCGCCTACTGCGCTCCCTTCTGGAAAACCCTCACCCAATTGCGAGCCAAGAACCTCGGGCGCCCTCCAAATCCCCGCGCCCCTCCAGAATCCCCCAGCATACATTTGCAGGCTGGTGCGGTGGACTCTGGAGGGGCGCGGGGAATCACATGAAACGAAACCAAAAGACAGAAAAACCAAGAGGAAGCAAGTTGCAAAAGCCGCTAAGCGGAGCACTTCCAGGACGAGGAGGCGACAATAGTGACCGTTTTTGTGCAGTTCTTAGTTGACTTAGCGCCATTCTAATCAGCCACCTGCGGAAGCACCAGAGGCACAGCGAGCACGCCACACCATCGAAACCTAACAAAAAGAGGAGGCGCGAGCCCTTTGGAACTCAAGCGGCAACCGGTCCAGCCCTTCTTGAGAAATGCCACGAAATTGAATAAACCTCTCTATTGTTTGCCGCTTTCCTGCTCGCAAGGCCATTTTTGGAAAAAAATCTGAAGACATCTTTTCACTTTTTTCATCAAAAATGGCCTAGCGAGCAGGAAAGCGGCAAACAATAGAGAGGTTTATTCAATTCTGGCGAAACCCCCGCAAACTTCCCCGCTGAAATACTTCAAAAGAGTGCGAACAACGCCAGCAAACCCCCCCGACAATCTGCGCACAAACGGCGGCGCGCGTGAGTGGTCTGACCATTTGAAGGCGGCAGCGCGTCGCTTCTCTTTGTAACTAATCCCACCCGGCGCGAGAGCTTCGGGGCGCCGGGTGGTCAAAAGTCCAACACTTAACAACATGAAAAGACCCAAGAACGAAGAACCTCGGGCGGAGTGTCTCAAACCTTTCCGATTATGGCGAAAAATTCGACCACAGACAAGTGGAGTTAGAATGGAGAAAATTCAACTAAGGACTGCAAAAATCCGGACAAAATTCAATCTTCTCGGGCATGATACGAATCCGCAGAACACTCGCCGCCTACTGCGCTCCCTTCTGGAAAACCCTCACCCAATTGCGAGCCAAGAACCTCGGGCGCCCTCCAAATCCCCGCGCCCCTCCAGAATCCCCCAGCATACATTTGCAGGCTGGTGCGGTGGACTCTGGAGGGGCGCGGGGAATCACATGAAACGAAACCAAAAGACAGAAAAACCAAGAGGAAGCAAGTTGCAAAAGCCGCTAAGCGGAGCACTTCCAGGACGAGGAGGCGACAATAGTGACCGTTTTTGTGCAGTTCTTAGTTGACTTAGCGCCATTCTAATCAGCCATCTGCGGAAGCACCAGAGGCACAGCGAGCACGCCACACCATCGAAACTTAACAAAAAGAGGAGGCGCGAGCCCTTTGGAACTCAAGCGGCAACCGGTCCAGCCCTTCTTGAGAAATGCCACGAAATTGAATAAACCTCTCTATTGTTTGCCGCTTTCCTGCTCGCAAGGCCATTTTTGGAAAAAAATCTGAAGACATCTTTTCACTTTTTTCATCAAAAATGGCCTAGCGAGCAGGAAAGCGGCAAACAATAGAGAGGTTTATTCAATTCTGGCGAAACCCCCGCAAACTTCCCCGCTGAAATACTTCAAAAGAGTGCGAACAACGCCAGCAAACCCCCCCGACAATCTGCGCACAAACGGCGGCGCGCGTGAGTGGTCTGACCATTTGAAGGCGGCAGCGCGTCGCTTCTCTTTGTAACTAATCCCACCCGGCGCGAGAGCTTCGGGGCGCCGGGTGGTCAAAAGTCCAACACTTAACAACATGAAAAGACCCAAGAACGAAGAACCTCGGGCGGAGTGTCTCAAACCTTTCCGATTATGGCGAAAAATTCGACCACAGACAAGTGGAGTTAGAATGGAGAAAATTCAACTAAGGACTGCAAAAATCCGGACAAAATTCAATCTTCTCGGGCATGATACGAATCCGCAGAACACTCGCCGCCTACTGCGCTCCCTTCTGGAAAACCCTCACCCAATTGCGAGCCAAGAACCTCGGGCGCCCTCCAAATCCCCGCGCCCCTCCAGAATCCCCCAGCATACATTTGCAGGCTGGTGCGGTGGACTCTGGAGGGGCGCGGGGAATCACATGAAACGAAACCAAAAGACAGAAAAACCAAGAGGAAGCAAGTTGCAAAAGCCGCTAAGCGGAGCACTTCCAGGACGAGGAGGCGACAATAGTGACCGTTTTTGTGCAGTTCTTAGTTGACTTAGCGCCATTCTAATCAGCCACCTGCGGAAGCACCAGAGGCACAGCGAGCACGCCACACCATCGAAACCTAACAAAAAGAGGAGGCGCGAGCCCTTTGGAACTCAAGCGGCAACCGGTCCAGCCCTTCTTGAGAAATGCCACGAAATTGAATAAACCTCTCTATTGTTTGCCGCTTTCCTGCTCGCAAGGCCATTTTTGGAAAAAAATCTGAAGACATCTTTTCACTTTTTTCATCAAAAATGGCCTAGCGAGCAGGAAAGCGGCAAACAATAGAGAGGTTTATTCAATTCTGGCGAAACCCCCGCAAACTTCCCCGCTGAAATACTTCAAAAGAGTGCGAACAACGCCAGCAAACCCCCCCGACAATCTGCGCACAAACGGCGGCGCGCGTGAGTGGTCTGACCATTTGAAGGCGGCAGCGCGTCGCTTCTCTTTGTAACTAATCCCACCCGGCGCGAGAGCTTCGGGGCGCCGGGTGGTCAAAAGTCCAACACTTAACAACATGAAAAGACCCAAGAACGAAGAACCTCGGGCGGAGTGTCTCAAACCTTTCCGATTATGGCGAAAAATTCGACCACAGACAAGTGGAGTTAGAATGGAGAAAATTCAACTAAGGACTGCAAAAATCCGGACAAAATTCAATCTTCTCGGGCATGATACGAATCCGCAGAACACTCGCCGCCTACTGCGCTCCCTTCTGGAAAACCCTCACCCAATTGCGAGCCAAGAACCTCGGGCGCCCTCCAAATCCCCGCGCCCCTCCAGAATCCCCCAGCATACATTTGCAGGCTGGTGCGGTGGACTCTGGAGGGGCGCGGGGAATCACATGAAACGAAACCAAAAGACAGAAAAACCAAGAGGAAGCAAGTTGCAAAAGCCGCTAAGCGGAGCACTTCCAGGACGAGGAGGCGACAATAGTGACCGTTTTTGTGCAGTTCTTAGTTGACTTAGCGCCATTCTAATCAGCCATCTGCGGAAGCACCAGAGGCACAGCGAGCACGCCACACCATCGAAACTTAACAAAAAGAGGAGGCGCGAGCCCTTTGGAACTCAAGCGGCAACCGGTCCAGCCCTTCTTGAGAAATGCCACGAAATTGAATAAACCTCTCTATTGTTTGCCGCTTTCCTGCTCGCAAGGCCATTTTTGGAAAAAAATCTGAAGACATCTTTTCACTTTTTTCATCAAAAATGGCCTAGCGAGCAGGAAAGCGGCAAACAATAGAGAGGTTTATTCAATTCTGGCGAAACCCCCGCAAACTTCCCCGCTGAAATACTTCAAAAGAGTGCGAACAACGCCAGCAAACCCCCCCGACAATCTGCGCACAAACGGCGGCGCGCGTGAGTGGTCTGACCATTTGAAGGCGGCAGCGCGTCGCTTCTCTTTGTAACTAATCCCACCCGGCGCGAGAGCTTCGGGGCGCCGGGTGGTCAAAAGTCCAACACTTAACAACATGAAAAGACCCAAGAACGAAGAACCTCGGGCGGAGTGTCTCAAACCTTTCCGATTATGGCGAAAAATTCGACCACAGACAAGTGGAGTTAGAATGGAGAAAATTCAACTAAGGACTGCAAAAATCCGGACAAAATTCAATCTTCTCGGGCATGATACGAATCCGCAGAACACTCGCCGCCTACTGCGCTCCCTTCTGGAAAACCCTCACCCAATTGCGAGCCAAGAACCTCGGGCGCCCTCCAAATCCCCGCGCCCCTCCAGAATCCCCCAGCATACATTTGCAGGCTGGTGCGGTGGACTCTGGAGGGGCGCGGGGAATCACATGAAACGAAACCAAAAGACAGAAAAACCAAGAGGAAGCAAGTTGCAAAAGCCGCTAAGCGGAGCACTTCCAGGACGAGGAGGCGACAATAGTGACCGTTTTTGTGCAGTTCTTAGTTGACTTAGCGCCATTCTAATCAGCCACCTGCGGAAGCACCAGAGGCACAGCGAGCACGCCACACCATCGAAACCTAACAAAAAGAGGAGGCGCGAGCCCTTTGGAACTCAAGCGGCAACCGGTCCAGCCCTTCTTGAGAAATGCCACGAAATTGAATAAACCTCTCTATTGTTTGCCGCTTTCCTGCTCGCAAGGCCATTTTTGGAAAAAAATCTGAAGACATCTTTTCACTTTTTTCATCAAAAATGGCCTAGCGAGCAGGAAAGCGGCAAACAATAGAGAGGTTTATTCAATTCTGGCGAAACCCCCGCAAACTTCCCCGCTGAAATACTTCAAAAGAGTGCGAACAACGCCAGCAAACCCCCCCGACAATCTGCGCACAAACGGCGGCGCGCGTGAGTGGTCTGACCATTTGAAGGCGGCAGCGCGTCGCTTCTCTTTGTAACTAATCCCACCCGGCGCGAGAGCTTCGGGGCGCCGGGTGGTCAAAAGTCCAACACTTAACAACATGAAAAGACCCAAGAACGAAGAACCTCGGGCGGAGTGTCTCAAACCTTTCCGATTATGGCGAAAAATTCGACCACAGACAAGTGGAGTTAGAATGGAGAAAATTCAACTAAGGACTGCAAAAATCCGGACAAAATTCAATCTTCTCGGGCATGATACGAATCCGCAGAACACTCGCCGCCTACTGCGCTCCCTTCTGGAAAACCCTCACCCAATTGCGAGCCAAGAACCTCGGGCGCCCTCCAAATCCCCGCGCCCCTCCAGAATCCCCCAGCACACATCTGCAGGCTGGTGCGGTGGACTCTGGAGGGGCGCGGGGACTCACATGAAACGAAACCAAACGACAGAAAAACCAAGAGAAAACAAGTTACAAAAGTCGCTAAGCGGAGCACTTCCAGGACGAGGAGGCGACAATAAAGACCGTTTTTGTGCAGTTCTTAGTTGACTTAGCGCCATTGAAAAACGAGGGAAGGATGGTGAAGTCAAAGATGCAAGATGATGGTAACCCATAAATATATTATATTCTCGAAGTGATAGCTGATTGTGTCCGGTTTTGCCGTGATAAACAAAAACTCGATCACAATTTTTCTGTAAATCTCCATCGACGTCGTGCCAGATTGACCTAGTGGCGTTTTGCAAAATACTTCGAGAGCGTGAGTGCGAGTGTTCATGATAGATCCGCTATTCGACGCGATGTACGATTGTAGATCGTGGTGTAACTGGCTATCAGTCAGGTTTTCATGTGACTTTGTGTACTCCTCTTCAGCAGATCCTTGGAGAAAGCCAGCACGCCAGTTGAACCTACCTAGTGCGACTTCGCGTGGTGGGTCCACATTATCACCATGAATTTCCTTCTCGAAGGCGGCGGCTGTAGTACTAGTTAGTCTGTCATCACTTTTTCCATAATTATTGCCACTGCCGAGCTTATCCTTTAGGCCCACTACTTCTTTTGTTCGTTTTACTTCTTCGTCGACGATGTATGAAAACAATTTCCCTACCCTCACGCGTCTACCGGTTGCGGCGAAAACTCAAAAACTTTCTCTCAAGGAGCTAGTTACAATCGATAACTGAGGGCGCGCCAGCACGCTTATGCGCGCGAATAGTTCACGCGGCTAGCTGTCAGCAAAGCTGCCACGCGGTGCCCATCACGCGAAAGGCCCGCAGAGCTTGGGGCGCGGTTTTGTAGAAAGAAGCCCACCCACCGAGGCGGAAGACTTGCCTGGTGGCACGGATCTGCGCGCAAGCTGTGCCGATGCCAAACCTGCGGAGAACTGGCGCACGAAGAGGCAGAAGTCTTGGCACTTTGGGCCCGTCAGCGACCAGTCCGCGCTTGCATTTGTTGTGGAGCAGTCCCATCCAACCAGCAAGGCGCCAAACCTGGCAGGCGGGCGGGCCCTCTGCAGCCCGGCACACGCGTCGAAGACTGGCCCCAAGGTGGCGCCGTTTGCGGTGCTCAGATGCGTCCGTAAGTCACCTCGTAGGGCCAGAGGTAGCCCTACCAAGTTCCAACAAGAGAGGGCGGCAAGATTTGGACCCGGTTCGCCAAGGTCTTCGCAGTATGAATGTTCAAAATCAAGCAAGACTTTCACGAGGCTCTCAAGGTTTTGCGAACTTCTTGAAGTGAGCCTGTAGGATCAGAGGTAAGCCTACTAAGCCCCACCAAAAAACGAAGCCAGAAAAAGCGCCGCGAGGTGCCTGATTTTCGTGGCGGAGTGGACCATCTGGCGAACCATGCCACAAACGGGGCCAATCTGTGGCCACTCTGTGGCTTGTTTTTCGGGCGCAGAAGCGTCGAGGCGGGTGTCTGTTTCTCTGACTGTCGTCTCAGCTTGGGGACATTCTGCTTGCCGATCCCTCTGGCTAGTTTCTCGCTTGCTGATGCTACAGCAGTCACATGCACGCGCGGCGCCTTGGGGCGGCTTCGGGTCGAGGCCGTCGGGAAATGAAGATGGCGCCAGGCGGGGCCTTCGGTGTGGTGTGTGTGCTTTCGCAGCGCTCGGGATGAAAGTGGCCAGGGGTCTGGTGGAAGATATCGAAGAGGGTCACGCTGGCACTTTCGACGAGCGTCATGCGGGGCAGCAGACTCGCCAGCCGCTTCACCTTCAGCGTGTAGCCCTCTTACCCATTACCCCCCTCCCCTTGAAAAGCTCTGCGGAGCTTTCGCAAAGGGGGCAGCCCGGGGGGCAGTGTGTGGCAGTTTCGCGCTCGCGGGCAGCTAAGCTGCCAACTAATTCGCGCGCACAACTGTGCAGGCAAGCCCTTCGCCATCTATCTTAGCAAGCTACTTATGAGTTCGGGGCTGTAAACCTTGCGCATTTCTACCTTTGCCGGAAAAGGAAAAAAGGCTTTCACGATGGGCGCGGTTTCTTCGGTGCCATTCGTGACACATTTGGGGTTTGTTCGGGCGTGCCATTCATGCCATTCGTCCCATGCGCCATTCGTGCTACAAACTGTTCTATTAAAAGTGTAGGATGGAGATTGGCTTCTACGCTACTAACCCACGAACGCTGCCGCAAGCTGGGAGAATCCATTTTTCAGGCCAGACGAGTTCAGTAGAGAAATACAACAGAAGGAACACTAATCGGGAGAAGGTTAAATAGAAGCCAACAATTACGTTTTGGATGGGGGACAGAGGGGAAGGTAAGGGGGGGGAACCGAAGGAAGACAAGGAGAGAGACCGATGTGGAAGAGCCGAAGGCGACAACAAGTATAGTACGAAACAACGGATATTAAAAGAAAAGCTTTCAGTTTTCGCCGGACCAGGTAGAGGCGTGAGGGTAGGATAGTTGCTGTTCATACGATGTAATCGTGGCGGCACATCTGCAGGAGCATCGCTTCGGTCAGCAGTTTGATCTGCTCGCTGTGGGAAGGCCGACCCCCACCCTTGGGAGCTACGAAATTGATGCGATACACGAGATGCGGAAGATTGGCCTCTTCGTCTTCACACATCCATCGTTGCCGGGTTTTGGAGTCGTACCAGGCATTTGGAACAAAATCTTTTGATGAAAGAGTGCCGCCATAAATTACGAGCGCTGTTATGAGAATGTCGGCTCTTGTCTTTGTTCCTCAAGCCTAGGCCACTGGCCGGAGAACTGGTAGCCGTCGACATTCTCACGCTTTCACTCTTAATAAATGAAGCCATACGGCCATCTTGATCACCTGCACATTTCGCTCCTCCTCTTGGTTTTCGAGTTCTTCGTGCGGTGATTTCAGTATGCGCGTTAGTGTAGTGCGAGACACAAACGGGACACCGGCATCGTGGCTCCTGGCCATCTGCTCACCTTTCTTATTGATTGGAATGTGGCACATTTTCAGCGGCGGATGATTTAGCTCTTCCTGCTGTTGCTGATGTGGCTCCCCTCGTTTTAAAACTGGTTTTACTTCATGACGCAACTCCCGGATTTCCTGGGATACTGTGTGCTGTGCTTGTAAAACTAGTTGTCTTACTTCCTGACGCAACTCCTGTATTTCTTCTCGATGGGAACTTCTAATGCCCTGTAGCTCTTCTGAAACTTTGGCAGAAAATTCCTCCACTCCTCCATTCTGTTTTTGTTGTTGTTGAAGTTGATGCGCTTCAATGCGATGAATGATCCCTTTGATTTCTTTCAAGTCTGCGAGAACGTCCCTGCGGAAGTTCCAAAAACTTATGAAGATGGGGTGAGTGACGAGTAACAGTGTCGGCAATCAGAGTAAGCAGTGGTGACATCTTCAACCTACGACTCCTATCTTTAGAGGTCGTCGCCTAGCTGCTATCTTGAACAGGAGGTGGTCAGGAAGATCTCGCGGCACCAGAACAAGTGAGCCTACTAGTACTACATTAAGTTATAGCCTGCCATAGGACCATCACCAGGAAACGACGTTTCCACGGCTTCTCTTTCTGTGAAACTCGAAACCTTGCCACTTGGGGCGACGGATATCAACGAATTCGGTACCTCAGCAAAGTCTTCGCCTTCAATAGTATCGGCCTCAGGTGAGCCGTCTGGATCTGTAGGTAGTGATTGTGATATATGTCAATATTGTCAGAATTTGTGTCATATGGCTTATAGTCGTCCGTCCTGTCTACTTCAAGTTCAGGAGCTATAAGTAGAACAAAAAGTAGATCATGAAGAACAAGTTGATGAATGAATGTTGATCGAATTTTTCCAGACTACAAATTATAGTTTTATTAAGTAAGTAGTAGGATTGTGATGCGCTCCACCACACGGATCGGCACTATTGCTAGTACATTGCTCGCCGACAGCATCAAACATGCTTGGTTTCCCGTTATCACGTGACTGTACGTCACCCACTTGCGAAAGCAATGCCGGTATCACCACATGCACAAAAATGTGCTTACCACACCAACGCTGTGCGTAGTTGTACGTCGTTGTGAATAATTTCGGGAGACGATGGCCGCACCTGTTCATATTTCAATCATGTAGGTGGAACACATTCATCCATCATGGTATAAGAGTGATCGGAGTGGTCAGTGGAATTGAAATTCCGAGTCTTGAACTTTCTGTTGATCTATTATCACCGAGTAAAATCCAAACCCACGACACCAGGAAGGTATTACTACCACCGCCCGGCTCCCTTTTGATGCTCTTGTGCGTCGGAATCGGACATCTCCTGCCTGTCCTTGTTAGAGATAGAGCTTCTACCGCGTGCGTATCAAATTTTGTGGCGAGAGTACAGTTGTCATCTTTGGGCGTGGTCATCTATTACTTCATGTCTAACACTCCCTGGTCAAGTTTGAAGCGATTCTTACACAGAGCAACGGAGACCGCCTCATGGTAAGCATTTCCATCTTTCGCTAATTCAACATGTTGACAATGAAATCAGCGAAGACAAAGATGAACTGTTGGTATGCCTCTTTGTATTTTTCTGGAATTGAAAAAAAGAAGAATCAAGATCAACTCTATTTCATGAGAATCGTTGTCGTTGGACTTCGACAATAGCCATAATCATCCGGTATAGCAGTGAAGAGCTCTTTCCAGTCGTGCCTGAGAAATTCCCTTCCTGATGTTAGAGCGTCACTCTGAAAGTGAGTGAGAGTGATCCTGGTACAATACCAAAGCGTGCAATTCTTTTAGAAGTACTGTCTCAATCTGCATCTGCAGAAAGCATACGGACCCTAGTACTAGGTCGTCGCCGTGGAGCAAAGATAGACTGTCAGTGTGACTGGCCATAATCTTCGATGTACTTGAGCAAGTTGTCTATGCACCTGTCCGAGCTGAATATCCCACTGTATCCACTGCCAAAGTCATTACCTCGGCGCCGTTGCTTCTGAAAATTCGGAGAGGGTACTTCAAAGGCCCAGCTAGTTACTTGTATAATCCCCTATGTATAGTATTAAAATGTCTAGTTGCTTATAATACAGCTTCTCAAGTATTATATTTTACTCGACTTCAAAATCAAAAGAATATTGAATTAAATAGTACTTGGTGAAGCTTCTAGGGGTAGTCGTTACGACTGGACGTAGCATCTACTTATTTGTAGTACAATTGTAGTACCAGAGTGGTCGGCTCTGCGTCCACGAATACCCGACATCTATCCGCAATACTCTTGCTCTTCGTATATATTCCCGGTAGTGTTTTGCGCAACCAGCGGCCCAAGCTCATATCGTCTTCATCCTGTTTGTTATGATGATTTGTACAAAACAGGACATTGACAGACATTTTTGGAAATACGGAGAGAGTAGTCGTCGTGTTAATCTATCAGGAGAATGCAAAATTTACAAAAAGAGCAAACAAAAAAGGCACCGTTCTGTTCGGGAGCGCAGCGAAGTAGAGACACACTTTCCAGACTGCCTTGCTGTCGGATTCGACCGACAGCAATAAGCGAAAAATGCTCTGCGCCTCCTCATCATCTACGACTACATGGCCGACGTGTCCCTGATGGTGTTGATCAGTGGGTCTAGTTTCTCTACACTAGCAGTATTTGTATTTCTGACACTAACCTTCAAGAACCTCTTAAAAAGAATGAACTTGCGTAAAGGAAAGAGTTGATGATCTAAGAACCACGAATGAGATGAAAAACAAGAATGACATGAAACGCGTCGTGCTAACGTCGGTATGATTGGCATAAGCTTCGAATTAGTGACTGAGAACAGTGCTGCTTGAACATGAAGTGGAAGTCTAACTACACCTAGAAGTAGAAGGAGCTACAAGTTAGTCTGTAGCTGTACCTTCAAGCGAATCTTTCCGTTCGCATCAGTCAAGCCGAGCAAATGGTAATACTTTTGCCAGATCTCATACTCAGCGTCTGCTAGATGGTCGAGCAAGTTCTTTTGCGACGTTGCGGTTGCGTCGAGAGTACACTGCGTAATAAGATGAAGAAAGTGAAAGAAAAACTGAGTTGCTGGTAGAGTAGGAGTTCAGTTGTTTTGAAAGTGAAAATGCCGGAAAGTATCTATGTATAGGTACCTCCGTCATTCCTTCCTCCGTCTGAGGGAAATGATGTTCCGGCATGACGTCCTTGGCTTCGTCGCAAACGGTGCTGGTAGAAGAAGAAGTGTTCATAGCCCTCACTTCAGAAACGAGCGCGTCTGTCATGACTCTTCTTCTCTCAGATTCAAGAGATCAAAGACGGTCGTGTAGATCCCCGTTTTGGTTTTCTACCTCGGGGTTATATGAGCAACCATAGTAGTTAGACTAAAAATGTAAGACTTTGTAGCGGGTTTATTTCAGCAGTAGTAAACATCGTGAAGTAAGTAGCTGTATCTCTTTAAAGCAAAAAGCATCGCTCTCTCTCCTCATCCTGGAGTGCCGTTTTTGTTCTCTGTCTCTTCCTCATGTCGGCGTCTCGCTTCTCAGACTCCACCTTTTTCTCGACTTTTCTCTAAGACTCTTGCTTCTCTTCAGGTTTCCTCGTAGTTTCTAAAGTTCATGCCTTCAACATGGCTCTCCTACTCCATTTTCAACTCCACCTTATACCTCTTCATCACTTCATGTCGTGAGCTGCACCATGGCATTCTACTTTTTGCCAGATTAAGATGCAAACCGAAACGGAAAACTACGCTCAACCACACATCACCGATTTCATCATCGTCCCTCTAATGAAAACCATGTTGATGTTGCCATGTTCTTGTGGTCTGAAGAACTTTTACTACGATGATGAAGAAGACAGATGCTTGGGCAGGAAAAAGCAGGAGACAAATACATGCTGCAATAAGGGAAGCTTGTAGTACTTCTTCTTCTTCTTCTTCTGCACTTTTTCTTGTTTTAATATTCCGTCCTTCAAATTGATATTTTGGTTTCCTTGCTCATACTCCCTATACAGAAAAAGAGACCTAACTTGCATCACAGAGGATCTTGCGTTGCTGGTCCTGGAATCACTTTATACTTTAAAGCCTCATACTGGAACCCACTTAGATTATTTCTCAATTCCTCCGTAGTCGCACCGTTGACGAACTGAAAGAAAATATCAATCTTTCTAAAAACCTCGTTCTTGCCCGTTGCCTTAAGTGATGGAGTTGCACATTCTATGGTGAGAACACGGCTCTTGAATGTTGTCACATCTTCCGTTCCCCCCACGATTTTCTTGAGGTACTCTTGCACCTCTTTCACAGTCTGCTCTTGGCTTTTTTCGGGTGTCTCCTGGCTCCTGCTAGTCTCCCGGCGATTAAACATGCTCACCCGTGCCTCCCAGTGCTGTAGTACGACTTCGCGTGGCTGTTTACCCTTAAGACCACGAATCTCATCTTGGAAAACAGCAGCAAGCTCCTGTCCACTATGTTGTTCTTGATGTGTTTCCTCGCCGAAGAAATTACTCGCAAGTTCCTGAAGTTGTAGTACTCCTCGGTTGGCTTCAGCGTTGACATCGTATTCGTTACGGCACATTTGCCCGATCATCGCTAAATCCAGAAGATCGACTTGTCCACCGTGTGTGCTCAGTTCTGATATTGCAGTCACAGGTTCAGGGTATGGCTCAGGTTGACCAGAAGGTGGAGGTTCCGAGTCAGGTTGATCGTCCACCGCCTCCACGGCACTAGGATGACTGGCCAATTCTGCATTCTCAGGAGGAGATGTTGGTACGAAACTGATATAGTAGAGCAGATCAGGCAAGTTCCTTGTCTCCTCACTTATCTGCCAGTCGGTCGGATGGGGAGGCTGCAACTCTGCCATTTCGTTGTGTGAAAGAACTACGGTGCAACTGATTAAGAGGGTTGGTATGAGGTTGTCGTGCGTGGTTCTTCCTCAATGATCGCCTTAACACGCAGTTCCCGTTGGTTGAAACAAATTATACTTCAGCTGACACTCTCATGACCTAACTCTTAATCAATGGACTCATACCCGTTTGTCGACCACCTGCACATTGAATTTCACATCTTGTAGTGGCACTTGTTGTGTTTCCTGACCCGGCTGCGCATGTGTACCCTCGTCCATTGTTCTCAACAGTATCTCAGGAGGCACGAATGATATGTAACACTGATTTGCTTTTTCTCCGAATCCGAGTGGTATCTTGTGCATCAATAGCGGCCCACTTTGTTGTTGTTGTTGATGTTGTTGTTGTTGTTGTTGTTGTTGTCCTTGATGTTCGTTACTAGGAATATGAGAGGGAACAGAAAGTGTAGTGCTGCCTGGCGACCAACGATCCACGCTAGCCCACTAGGACTAGCCCCAAGCAATCGCGCAAATTGTGCTGACTTATGCAGCACGAGACACGAGAAAGGCCTGGGAACAACGAATGCAGGGGGCTGCGTGGGCGAGTGTGAAACGAGGACACGAATGCGAATGGAAGCACGAGTAAAACGGTGCTAAAAAGAGTGAACTGGGAGAACAGGGCGTGAAGGTGAGCGGCTGAATGGAAATCGCCACTCATTGAACGAGGTGGGGAAAGTAGCGAAGCAGATAGTGATGCTGTAGGTCAAATTCTCGCGTTGTCTCCGGAAAACCAACTTTACTCAACGAAAAAAAGCCAGCGCTTCAAGACCAGCTATGGGGGAGATATTGGCAAAGCGACGCACCTTCTAAGGCAGACACAAGGGCACACACAGGCGGGAAAAGAACCCCCAAAGCGGCGCTTGAAGCGCAAGAAGCAACAAACGAGAAAGACGCCAGCCATCACGCAAGGATCCGCTAGCGGACCGAAACGAAAGAAAAGGAAAAAGAAAGGAAGCTGAAGATCGGAAGGGCGATCTGCAGTCCCAAAGCAAGGACAAAAGCCGGAAGCGCGGCCAAAGGACCAAGAAGAGAAGGAGCGTCTGTTGATCGGGGCCGCAGAAAAACCGATCACAAACCCATGAAAAAGCCAGAAGTTGACAATGCAACTGAAGAGCTGGCAAGAAAAACAAAAACCAGTGAGGATCGGAAAAGGAAGCGATCCGAACAGCAAGAAGAAGCGTTGGGCAGAATGATAGTGGATAGATCAACAACGTGAAACGGCTCAAGGATCTCAGTCAAGAGGTCCACCAAGATCGTGAGCCAAATGGTTACAGGATCAGAATCACACCAGTAGGAAGATCAACAAGATCACACCAAGGGGATCACCATCAGGATGATCACCATAAGAGTGGAATACTATCGGAATCGAGAACATCAGCGCCGAGACCTCTAGCGTAGCAAGTAGCTTGATACCCATTGACATGAACAAGCACACTTTGGAACTGCATGAGAATCATCAAACTGAATCGACTTGCTCCAACCTTCGCAGGTATAGCGAAGGGGGTACTGTTTCCAACTTGACTCCCCTGCGGGTCTAGTTTTCTAGGTTTTCAGTGTTCTAACATTCTATACCTTAGAGGGCTTTAGCTTCAGGGAAAAACATGAAAAAAGCTCTTTTATAGCCTCACCGGTTTGCATTTGCATAGCCTGAATAGTTAAACTCTTCGCCGCTCTTTTGTAGATTCAAAATGGGCACCGAAGATAAGAACACTACTCGCCTCGAGGAATTCTCGGGCAGTAGTAAGGACGTGCCTCGCTTCAGAGATTGGCTCTACAAGGTCTATTCTCTGCTGGAAGAAGCAAGCACGGGCGTCCACCTTAAGGACATTCTGGAAAAGAAGAAGAAGAAAGCCGAGGAGGTGCTTGCACTGGATGCAGTACAAGCCGCGGGTAAGCATCTAAAGAAGGTCAAGACTGTTGCTCTGAACACTCTGCCGGGTGGCTCGCCGGCTTTGGCTGTGGCTAAAGTGGCCCCCTCTCAGCGCGTTCTTTCGATCCTGGCTTCCTTGTGTCAAAAGTACGCAAGTCAAGAAGCCAGCGCGCGTTTCTCCGGGTACAGGCTGGCGACGGATCCTCGGCCTTCGGGTACGGGCGTCATCAGCTGGATCGAAGGAAAAGAGGTCGCCATGGCTGAAACTCTGCAGAATAAAACTGACGCTAAAGAGTTCCCCGCCGCGTGCGTCCTCATTGGCGCCGATAAGAAGTTCGACGTAGTATCGTCTTCCATGTTGGCACGCCAAGAGACGTCGCCTGATGTCATCAAACCTGCTTTGCGCGAGTTCGCGGCTCTGCAGGACCTCAAAGGAGGTGACCACGAGCAGGACGCTGCTGCGCATGCAGTTGTAGTAAGCCTGAAGAAACAAGTCCAATCCTTGAAGGATAAACTTGCCCACAAGGGTAAAGGAAAAGGAAAGGGCAAAGACCCGCACAAGAAAAAGGCGAAGAAAGATGAGAAGTGGCGCTCACACTGCAACAAGCCCGGACATCTTGAGTCTGGGCGCTGTGCAAAAGATCCCAGCAAAGCTCCCAAGAGCTTGCGGGACAAACTAAACAAGAAGAAAGCTGAAAGCAATTCAGTCATTGTCGGCGATGTCGACTCCGTTCAGGCCGGAGACCATCAGGAAGACGCCGACGCGACTCCCTACGCTGAAGAACAAAGTGAAGACCCTACCAAGATTCAAGAGCTGAAGCGCGTTCTTGCTTGTTCGCCGGGTGACTTGGCTCACATAAAGTCCAAGTCTGAGGAGACCGAGAAGATGCGCGCGAAGGTTCTGGAGGACGAGGGGGCGGAGCTTTACAACAAAGAAAAGGAGGGCAAGAAGGTTACTCACCTACTTCCCAACGAAGAAGAAGAGCACACATCTTCAATGGCGGACACTACAGGCGACGCCGAGGCGTCTGTCCCTGCTGGACCTACTTTGTACCGTTCGACTGTGGCTGGTGCTGAGGTATTTCCCGCGGGCGTACTAGGTAATGCGTCAAATTTTCAGCCTCTTGGGCATGTGTTCAACGGGCAACAGCAAACCAGAGCGACAGAACAAGAAAAGGGCGAACCAAGTGATTCCTCGTCGGTTTCCGAGTCGTATTCTCGGGCTTTGGATGAGTGCCGATCGGTCTCATGTGAGTCGGTTGCGGACACCTTTGCGGGGGCAATCTTGTCCAAACAAAACGACCCTGGAACAAGCCCAAGACAACATAAATCACCGGCCTCACGTGAGTCAGGAAGGACAAAGTCGGACTTGTACACGGGTACCAGTTCAAGTAGTTCATCTTCGTCGGCCGCAGTAGTTTCGGCAAACAAAAGTAAGAGCTGGAAGAACAGCGCCGGGGCGCAGGCAAATCCTGCATTTGATTGTAGGTGGGCAAGCGCGCACGACACTGCGCCACAAGCAAGCCCTCGGGAATGCTGGCGCTAGTGCAAGTAACAAAGTGGGCAACCCTTCAGAGGGGGGCAGGCAGTCCAAGTGGATTGCTGACGCAGGGGCATCCCATCACGTGACAGGTGACAGATCTGCGCTCAAGAAGTTCACAGGTGTGACGCTTCCCCTGAGCACAGCTGATGGCCCTTGTAAAACAAAGGCCCGAGCTGGGTACTTTAAGGCTAATAGCTTAGGTTTGGCGATGGGGCCCTATCGTCCTAACTTGCGTCAGCAGCTCATCTCTGTGGAAGAGCTCACGCAGGCGGGAGGTTCGTTACGCAAAGAACTTACGGACTGTCTACGATCCGTCGGGCGAAAGGCACACTGTTTGCTGAGCTCCAGAACGGAGCGCCGATGGCAGCTGTTTCATTTGAAACAGAAGCGCCAGCGCGCAGCTCATTTATCTCAAGGAAGTGTGTCAAACCCACAAAACACGCTAAGACTGCATCAGAGATTCGCGCCCTTCAACGTCTGGGGCCAAGTGGTTCCGTGTCCGGATTGTGCTAAGGCTAAAACGTATGGCCAAGTGTCTCAGTCTCACAAGAACCAGCGTGATCCGGGTTGCATTGTCGAGAACTGGCATGATCGGGGCGATTGTGACTCCATGGGACCGCTGCCAGCGAGTCACTTAGGTAAAGGGCACGCCTTTGCTATAATAGACTCTCATACGGATTGGGTTGAAGTGTATGCCATAGCGCAAAAGTCTGACACTGACTGTGGTGCAGCTCTAAGGCAATACTGCCGCGAGATGGGCAATAAACTCAAAAAAGTTCGCACTGATAATGGGCCTACATTGCAAGGGCCTGGCAATAAATGGGAGCTGACATGTGCGGAATTGGATACCCATCCCGCGCATTCAGTCCCCTACGAGCCTCAACAGAGTGGCAAAGTCGAACGCTGTGTGCGCACGATGGCAGATGCCACCCGGGCGAATATCCAAGGAGTAGACCCAGCCGTCTGGGACTGGTGCGCGCGCTACTTTGCGCACGTGTTTAACCGTCTACAGAGGAGGAAAGACAAGCCAAGTGCCTATCAGCAAAGGCTCAACAGACAGGCGCCCCCTAAACATCTCAGGAGGTTTGGCTGCGTCGCATGTGCTACGCCAAAATCCACACGCAGCTAACAAAGCTGGAGGACAGATTCGAAAAGGGGACCTTTCTCAGGTATTCTAGAGAGAGCCCCGCGCATCTTGTTGGCGTATGGCGCAAAGACGTCAACGGTAAGGAAAGGCTTGAGGTCATCGAGAGTGCTTCCGTGAAGTTCATGGAGAACTGTCTCACTGATGATATAGATTCTCTTAAGGCCGATGGTGATCCGTTGCCAATGAAGCGGAAACTGCGCATAGCTGATCCTGCCGATGTTATAAGGAGGAGTCGCGACCTCTGTGCAGCACTCGGAGGGGGCGGCGATGAGCGATCGCAAACTTCAGAGGAGGCGGATAGCCCGGAGGCCAAGAGAAGGAAAACGGAGAACCCATCACGCACAGATGGTTCTTCAGGAAAAAAAGTGACTGATGCTGGCAAAGGCACAGCGAAACAAACAGTCCCTGGTGATCAGCCGACTGATGGAAGTCCATCGTCGTCTTCATCAGCTGACGGCCAGCCACCGGCGGTGGGACCGATCAACCAGCAGCCGAATCCAAATGGGTCGACTGAATTTCCTGTCGAAAGAGGCAAAACAGAGAAAGAAGTGGAACACGTAGGAGCAGGGCAACCTGATTCAAATAAGTTTCATGCGTGGGGCAAGGTCCTAGTCGACGCGCAACAGCCTCAGGGAGGTCCTGCGACGGATTCCCCAGAAAGATTGTTCGCATCTAATAGAAGACAATCTGAATCCCTTCGAATTACGTGGCCAATCGTGGCGGAACGATGATCAAAGTACGGCTTAGGCGAGGTCGTCCTACCCTACGGGCCTAACAGAAGAACAGTGTCCGCACTGGGAAACCAATGGCCGAAAGAAGAAAAAGGGAAAAAGAACGAACTCAGCAAGAACTTCCGCAGGATGACACAGCAGAAGCTAACGTCGCAAGTGCGTTAGTTTACAGCTTTTGGGGGTCCTATGTTGGATCTTGAGGAACAAGAAGTGGCAACGTCCTTCACTGTTCAAGTCACTCGCGCAGAAGCCACGAGAGGCCCCGACTCTGTGAAATTCATGGAGGCCGACAGCCTTGAGTTGAAAGGCTGCAGCTAGATCGCTGTAATGCTTGGCGAGCTCTGCATGATGGTGAACTTAAGGACGACGATGAGACTGCCCCGCATGTTGTCATATAGTACACAAAGAAGCGACGTGGTAGATACAAGGCTCGCGGCGTTGCTTTAGGCAATAGGCAGACGAAAGCTAATAAGGCCGAGATCTTCTCACCAACAGCCTCGCACGCGGCTAGCAGGGTGCTGCTAGTTGATGCGGCTGCCAATGGCAAAGCCTTAGGCCAGTTTGACATCTCCAGCGCATTCGTTAGAAGCGGGCTGGGGGATGATGCGCGCGCGTTCGTTAGACTTCCAGAGCATTGGTCTGCGGACCCGCGTGGGGACGTTGTGAGACTGTTGAAAAGCCTATACGGACTGAAGATAGCACCTAGAAAGTGGCACGGTTGCTGCTCTAGCTTCCTACTGAAAACAGGTTGGGAAAGATGTCCCAACGAGCCCGGTGGGTCTCTTTCGGCGCAAGGGTGTAACTATAGCCATCTACGTCGATGACTCCCTAGTTAGTGCCAACACACAGGAGGAAGTAGACAACGTGACCAAGGAAATCCTGGCGCACTTCGATGGTATAGCAATTGACGCGGAATGGTCTGCAGACAAGAGAACTCACGCCCGCGACATCTTGGGGGTGCGACTATCGTACACCAGAGAGTCGAAGGGGATGAAACTCGACGCAGAACAGTCCATCAAGAAGCTAGCCGAGAAGTTCAAGGTAGAACCGGGCGCGTCGGGCTATTCAGTCGCCTTGTGTTTCTAGCGATCTTACTGAAGGCTCAGAAGATTCAAGCTTCCCACTGAGAAGCCTCGCCGGAGGTTTGCAGTACATTGCTACACAAGAAAGACCAGACTGCTTATTTGCGGTAAGCCGCGTCGCGAGACATATCACGACTCCAACTTCGGCAGTCGTAACAGCCTCAAAACGTGCGCTGCGGTAAATGCTGCAAACACCGCCTTGCGGGGTTGAGTACAGTCCAACCCGGGAGAGAGAATTCTTCCAGACTTATGAAATGAGGTAGCCCCCAAGAGTCAGAAGAAGCCTGACCTACGAGGCTTTGTGGCATTTTCTGACGCAGATTATGCGCGGCGTACAGTCACACTGCGCAGCTGCTCGGGTAGTATGCTCTACTATAGGGGTAAGTACTCCCGTTGCTTGGAGCTCCAGGAGGCAATCCATTAGAGCGGCTAGCACTTGCGAAAGCAAAGCGATTAAGTAGCACTGTTCGACACGCTCCAACTTGTGAAGTCTCAAGGCTTTATGGAGTGGCATGCGTCCAACGCTATGCTGCCGCAAATTTTCTGTGAAGATCAGTCTTCTATCATGGTGGCAGGGACCTCCCTACCCACCAAGAAAGCGAAGCACTTCCAAACGCGTCCCCACGCGGTGAAGGATCACGCAGAGGACGTCTGCTACTGCCCGACTCACTTGCATCGAGCTGATCCTCTTACCAAGCCAATGGGGAGACCCTTGATGGTGTTCCAAACACCGCCTGGCATTTCGCTCAGCGACAAGAAGCGCGACGCGCGTGCGTTGTATTGCTGCATCGCTTGAGGGGGAATGTGGGGTAAGTATCAAGGCCATAGGGGACTGCGGGAACCTATGGAAAGCGGTGCCCTCCTCCCATGCCGTGCGCCGCGTCATCGGTAGCGCACTGGGGGCGGGCAGCTAGGTGCCTGCGGGGGTTTTTGTCCGCATAGATAGTGGAATCTCCATTGATATCCAATCGGGTGGCGTCTCAGATGACCGTAGCCATTTCTAGTAGTGAGTTCTGGCGTTGACTTTGAGCTGGTTGGCTGTCGTTGTCGTTTCTGACTTGGTGTTGGTTCTCTATCCAGTGTCAAGACGAGGGCAAAGGCCTTCATCGTTGTCACTGAGAGGGGGAATGTTGGGCAGAATGATAGTGGATAGATCAACAACGTGAAACGGCTCAAGGATCTCAGTCAAGAGGTCCACCAAGATCGTGAGCCAAATGGTTACAAGATCAGAATCACACCAATAAGAAGAGCAACAAGATCACACCAAGGGGATCACCATCAGGATGATCACCATAGGAGTGGAATACTATCGGAATCGAGAACATCAGCACCGAGACCCCTAGCGTCGCAAGTAGTTTGATACTCATTGGCATGAACGAGCACACTTTGAAACTGCACGAGAATCATCAAACTGGACGGACTTGCTCCAACCTTCGCAGGCATAGTGAGGGGGTACTGTTTCCAACTTGACTCCCCTGCGGGTCTAGTTTTCTAGGTTTTCAGTGTTCTAGCAAGAAGATAAGCCAAACGCCGCGAACACGACAAGAAGGCGTAGCGGCGGCCTTAATAGAAGAACGGGGATCGGAAGAGCGATCCCCGAAAGAAGAGAAGAAAGAGAAACACACAAGGGCAAGAGAGGCAGTGGGCTTGAGTTGGATCTTCTCACCCCAGGCCCAGAATAGAAAGGAGCAATAATGGCCAGACGCCGCCCGACAATCAGCCCTAGCAGATTACTCAACCGAGAAACAGAAACCAGCACGAAGATGGTGAGACCAAACACATGCCAGCGTTCTTGCTTTTGGCATGAGCGCCTTGCCCATCGTGATGAAAAGGCCAATGAGGCCGTGAAACTTCCTGAAACGGCTATACCAGGGCGGGAGTGCGGGCGAGAATCGAATGGATTGGAATAGAATCGCACGCGAGTGGATGAATAACGGGTGGGCGAATGCGATGCCCGCGCGTAGGATGCGCGGCCCCGGCATGAATGGACACGAGTGGGAGTAAATGGGTGCCCGCGTGTAGGATGCGCGGCCCCCGAATGCACAGAACTACTCGTGATCCATACACTACAAGACGATCAAACCAGCTTAAGCGAAGCGACGCGATGAAAGTGAAACCGCGGCGCTCGCCAAATTAGCCGCCTTTCGCCGAAGTGCCCGACTAAATCGACCCGCCCTTGCGCCAGATGCTTCGTGTGATGTGCCCTCTTTTTCTATGAAACTCGAGATCTCACCAGTTGGGTCCACCGATATCAATAAACTCGGTGCCTCAGCAGAGTCTTCGCCTTCAATAGTGTCGGTCTCAAGAAAAGCGTCTGGGTCTGATAGTGCGGCTGTTTTCATAGAGACAGGAGACTGCGCTGCACTAAGATTTTACTCAAGAATTTGGTTCTGATTTACAAGTCCTCAGAATTTAGCATCCTCATCTTGAGGAACAAGTACTAGAACTAGTACTGCAAGATAAATTGTGAACGAGTAGAAGTGCTAGAACTAGTACTGCAAGATAAATTGCGAGCGAGTAGACGTAGTAGAACTAGTACTGCAAGATAAACTGTGAACGAGTAGACGCCAAAATAAGGATAAATTAGTACGCTGATCTCGATGGTGTTTGTTGTGGTGTGCTCGAGTACTTTCCTCAGCTCTGTTGCTACTCTCGTTCTCCCTCGTCTGGTCACCTACTGCCCCATGAAGACCTAGCATCTCGCTATCCATTCCACCCCGTTCGCCCAAGCCACCATCGCGGTCATCAAGAGCAGAATCATCAAAGTTGTTCGGTTTCCGGTTATCACGTGACTGTACGCCAACCAATTGCGAAAGCAGTGCTGGTATCACCACATGCACAAAAATAAGCTTACCACGCCAGCGCTGCGAGTAGTTGTACGTCGTTGTAAATAATTTCGGGAGACGATGGCCGCACCTGTTCATATTTCAATCATGTATGAAGAACACACTCATCCATCGTGGTACAGTGGAATTGAAATAATTTCGAGTCTTGAACTTTCTGTCGATCTATATCTATTATCACCGAGTAAAATCCAAACCCACGACACCAGGAAGGTATTACTACCACCCGTCTCCCTTTTGATGCTCTTGTGCGTCGGAATCGGACATAGTCTGCCTGTCCTTGTTAGAGATAGATCTGCTACCGCGTGCGTATCAAATTTTGTGGCGAGGGTACAGTTGTCTTCTTTGGGTATGGTCATGTGCTTCACGTCTAACACTCCATGGCCAAGTTATTTGAAGCAATTCTTACACAGAGCAACGGAGACCGCCTCACGGTAAGTAGCATTTCCATCTTTTGCTAATTCATCAACATGTTGACAAGGAAATGAGCGAAGACAAAGATGAACTGGTGTCCCTTTTTGTATTTTTCTGGAATTGAAAAAAAGAAGAATCAAGATCAACTTTCTTTCATGAGAATCGCTGTCGTTGGACTTCGACAATAGCCATAGTCATCCGGTATAGCGGTGAAGAGCTCTTTCCAGTAGTGCCCGAGAAATTCCCTTCCTGATGTTAGAGCGTCACTCTGAGAGTGAGTGAGAGTGATCCTAGTACAATGCCAAAGCGTGCAATTCTTTTAGAAGTACTGGCTCAGTCTGTATCTGAAGAAAGCATACGGACCCTAGTAGTAGGTCGTCGCCGTGGAGCAAATAAGATGGACTGTGAGTGTGACTGGCCATAATCTTCGATGAACTTGAGCAAGTTGTCTATGCATCTGTCCGAGTTGAGTATCCCACTGTACCCACTGCCAAAGTCATTACCTCGTCGCCGTTCCTTCTGAAAATTCGGAGAAAGTACTTCAAAGGTCCATCTAGTTGCTACTGGTATAGCAGAGCAATTTCTAAGGTTTCACGGCTCGCATGGCATGGAGTGCATGGATCACATGGAGTAGCATGGAGCTAAAGGGGGAGCTTCTTGCGCCCCTTAAAGCTCTGCGCTCCATGCACTCCATGCTACTCCATGCACCATGCGTGCTATAAACTACTCTGGTATAATGATAGTCCCCTATTAAGATGTCTAGTTGCTTATACAGCTCCTCAAGTATTATTTCTTCCTCGACTTCAAAATCAAAATTATTATTATCATTATGATTGATCGCGCGCGACCCTATCGCCTCGCACGTGTCGCACTCGCGAGCGCTCCTACCATCTGTCGCTCCTACCATCAAAAGAATATTGAGTTATATAGTGCTTTTTAGTGCAGCTGGGGGTAGTCGTTACGACTCGTAGCATCTATTAGTAGTACAATTGTAGTACCAGAGTGGTCGGCTCTGCGTCCACGACTACCCGACATCTATCCGCCATACTCTTGCTCTTCGTATATATTCCCGGTAGTGTTTTGCGCAACCAGCGGCCCAAACTCATATCGTCTTCATCCTGTTTGTCATGATGATTTGTACAAAACAAGGCATTGACAGACAATTTTAAGAAATGCGGAGAGAGTAGTCGTCGTGTTAATCTATCAGAAGAATGCAAAATTTACAAAAAGAGCAAAAAAAAAAGTTACCGTTCTGTTCGGGAGCGCAGCGAAGTAGAGACACACTTTCCGGACTGCCTTGCTGTCGGATTCGACCGACAGCAATAAGCGAAAAATGCTCTGCGCCTCCTCATCATCTACGACTATGTGACCGATGTGTCCCTGAGTGATGGCGATGATCAGTGGGTCTAGTTTCTCTACATCAGTAGCAGTATTTGTATTTGTGACACTAACCTTCAACCTCTTAAAAAGAACGAACTAAAGTAAAGGAAAGAGTTGATGATCTAAGAACCACGAATGAGATGAAAAGCCAGAGGGTTGACATGAAACACGTCGTGCTAAGGTCGGTATGATTGGCATAAGCTTCGAATTAGTGAGAACAGTGCTGCTTGAACATGAAGTGGAACTCTAACTACACCTACTAGAAGGCCCTAAAAGTTAGTCTGTACGTACAAGTTAGTCTGACACTGACTATCAACCTATGGTATTCATGAGCCACAAACTCGTGTAGTTTAAGTTCCACTTCATGAAGAATTCTAGTAGAGATGAAAAACAAGAACCACGAATGAAGTAGAACTCTAACTACACCTAGTACTAGAAGGAGCTACAAGTTAGTCCGTGGCTGTACCTTCAAGCGAATCTTTCCATTCGCATCAGTCAAGCCGAGCAAATGGTAATACTTTTGCCAGATCTCATACTCAGCGTCTGCTAGATGGTCGAACAAGTTTTTTTTCGACGTTGCGGCTGCCGCTGCGTCGAGAGTACACTGCGTAATAAAATGAAGAAAGTGAAAGTAAAATTGAGTTGCTGGTAGAGTAGGAGTTCAGTTGTTTTGAAAGTGAAATTGAGTGTGGCATTGGCAATATGAAAAGTGCATATAATACTTGCACTTCTTCGACGTCACTGTTTATAAAGGAAGTCGATACAAGAAAGGAGCAGGGGGGGGCGTTCGGCCCTGAGTCATATATAGGTACTTCTTGTCGTCCTTCCTCCGTCTGAGGGAAATGATGTTCATGTTCCGGCATGACGTCCTTGGCTTCGCCGCAAACGGTGCTGGTAGAAGTGTTCATAGCCCTCACTTCAGAACCGAGCGCGTCTGTCATGACTCTTCTTCTCTGAGATTCAAGAGATCAAAGACGGTCGTGTAGATCCCCGCTTTCTACCGCGGGGTTATATGAGCAACCATAGTAGTTAGACTAAATGTAAGAGTTCGTAGCGAGTTTATTTCAGCAGTAGCGGGTTTATTTTTAGAGTAAGTTGTACCTCTTTAAAGCAAAAAGCATCGCTCACTCTTCTCATCCTGGAGTACCGTTTTTGTTCTCCTTCTCTGTCTCTTCCTCATGTCGGCGTCTCGCTTCTCAGACTCCACCTTTTTCTCCACGACTTTTCTCTAAGACTCTTGCTTCTCTTGTTCAGGCTTCCTCGTAGTTTCTAAAGTTCATGCCTTCAGCATGGCCCTCCTACACCTACTCCATTTTCCACTCCATCAGGAAGTTCCCTTGTTTCTCTTCTCTTTGCTCATCCAGATCGCCATGATCGTCGTTGATAAAGACAACGCAAGAACAATCGATGATCTTTTCCCCTAGAGGATCATTGTCTTCAATGAAGATCTTTTCCCCTAGAGGATCATTGTCATTCGATTTCATCTTCGTCCATCAAGATCGCAGGGTCGGCACCTTCGCCCCTTGTTGTTGTAGCTGTTGTTGTAGCTGTTGCTAATCTTCGTCGACCAGTAGATAAAGCAGGGTGGCGAAGTCTACCCTTCTACTATCAGAAGTCCTCTATCAATATACGCAAGCATGTGAACAATGATCAATTTATTTTTCATCTTCGTCCATCATCAAGATCACAGCTCCATCTTCAGTCTATCCTCATATGTGATTCGATTTCATCTTCGTACTTTCTTAGGGCAAATTCCAGTTATTTCTCGTTCATGCTGCTCCACTTAACCCGCGCTTGATCCACAGCGGCTTGCAGTGCATCTGCCGCTTCCGCAATCTCGTTCACAGCTGAGTTCTTGCGTGCTGGGGTTAGACTATAATGACCCTGAACAAATTAGTTAGTACAAGAGAGATGTAGAAGAAGCAGAAGATGTAGAAGTAGAAGATCTAGTTCTAGATTTCTAGATGTAGTTGCAACATGAGCATGATGAGCAAGTACTTAGTTGGAGGTCATCGATGAGCAAGTAGATCACGTCGGACGATGGAGATGGACAAGTTCTGCAGGTACAACATTGCGTGCTCATTCAGCTGTTCGCATTGTTTAAATATTACGGCTAGAGCGACAGGTACCAGGAGCTACAGGTATAGATCGATACTATTTCTATAATTTTTACTAAGACTAACTATCGAAAAATAAAAAAACTGTGACCACACGACCAGACATAACAATGCTTGTTCTTCATCTAGTGCTCGCGAGGCTTCATGAATCTCGTCGCCTACCATGGTAATTTCCTCGACCATTCTTTCTCGATCTTGTTGCTTCTGGATGGAGACCTGAGAATGGATGCAAGATTTAGCAGTGTTCTTAGTTCGTCTTCGACGTTGTACTAGTATCAAAACATAAGAACGAGAACCAGAACGAGAGACTTCAGGTTCCAGAACTCTTCATTGATTGATTGACTTACCTACTTATTCAAGAGGTAAAGGGGCTACCATTCAGTGGGAGTAGGGGTAAAGCATAAAGTGGGGTGCATACTAAATCTTCATCGATCAACAAAAGGGTAAAGCAGCATGTACTTGTTCTATTTGCGCTGCCAGCGTAACCAAGCGATCTTGTTGCGTTCTCTCTTCCCTTTCAGATGCATGGAAGTCGGCTCTTCCCTCTTCCAGTTCTGCCTCTAGGTCCTTGAGCGCGAGCTCTTGGGTATTTCCTTGCTCCACCAAGTTCTGTCACTCTCGATTGCGATCCAGAAATGGGTATTAGATCATCGTGGGAGCTGCGAAGGCAGCTGTCTCTTCTTATTCACTGTCGTTCTGAGAGCGCGATGCAATAAGGGTACAACTTACGAGACGATGTGAAAGTGTTGCTGAAAATAAGCTCAAGCGGTTCGTTTTTCCTCATAAAAATTACACCTCTGTGTCGCACGGTCTGCTTTGGAGGCTTCTTCGGTCAGAAATTCGCAATGCTTTTCGAGAGTGGCTATGCGTTCCTCCTTACTTCGCACTGCGACACGCAGATTTTCGACTTCCTGCACCAATTTGGCTGGATCCATATCCGAGATGACACCACGCCGCAGAGAAGAGATAATGTATGAAAGAGGGGAGAGGGCGAAGCTGTGGATGAGGAAGCAAGGGACGGCGTGAACGAGAAGAACGATTGACTTACTTTGCAGTATAATGACGTTGAAGCTCTAGTTCTACTAGCGCGAGTAGTGTTTGCAACTTCATGATCTTGTAGGTGGTAAGAATAAAGCTCAGAAGAATAAAGCTCAGACAAGCGCGTCCAATCAGAGCACTTCTCTCTGGCAAGGAACCCTTGTTCTATAGTTCATCTGCTTCTGTCGAAACTAATCTGTCTTCTGTAACAGTCTCTCTTCATAAGCTATCCCCCAGCATCCTGCTTTCTCCTTCCGCTTGTTCTATTTTATCTTTGGTTTCGGTGATTTCGCGTTTCGCGTCGTCTATACCTTGCTCAATCTGAAAAATGCTCAATCGATTCATCTCGTCTTTTATACTCCTCTCCTCTGTGGTCAGGCGTTCGACAGCGGCTCGCTCGTTTGCTAACTCGGCTTCTTGTTGAGGTTAGAGAGGCTGGATGAGCAGTCGTCTTACCTACTTCTACAGTGAATGCTTACTTTATTCATTATATGCCGGAGAAAACATGAGGGATGCAATGATTCATCACTTCAGAATCCGCAACTACAAGGTGCAACTGCAAGAAGTGCAAGATCATCTACAACAGCGATAATTACCGACTCTGAAATAACGACGCTCTACTAGTACGACTTTATTTGTATCTGTACTATGTAAGCATCCCAACCTGTGCCTATTGCGGACAGCCTGCTGTTTCCTCAGCTTAGGGCTCATAGCAGCCTGCTGCCAATCCCGATCCTACTAAGTACAATCTATAACGATAACGCGTTATAGATGCATGCTGGTTGGATTCTAGTACTGCTCTAAAAAAAATTATGTTCTCTTACGTGTTGCTAAAGTAACGCCCTAAGGCTGCCATACCATAATGTTCAACATTTGACCTCAGTCCACGCATTGATTCGCTTGCACTGGAGATCTTCAGCTCCAGGTCTGCAACAATGCGTTGCTGCTCATGCTCCGACTGGGACTCATCCTCACGAAATCGACAGAAATTAATCAACGCACTCAAATTCCGCCGTAAACGCTTTGCTTCGGGCTGTGGTGGTGTCAATGCAAGGCTATTGGTAATTCTAAAACAAGTAGTCGTAAGTAGTGGTGTCAATGAAAATGAAATGTGAAAATATGTTCCAATCGGATTTCCTCAAAACTAGGGAGGTCCGAAAGTGCAGCTCGTGACAGCTGGGTGCACGCCAAGAATAAATGAACCTACCGCTACTAGAACTCTGACTTAAGAATCAGCACAAGAGAGGTGTTAATGTTGCTAAGAAGATGCATGTACTTACGCAAAATAACATTTGATCTTCTGCAGGTACGAAGTTGCATTCTACCTTCAGCAAATCCGCCATGGAAAAGTCGCTTATTCCAGACAGCTGCATTAAGTGCTGCAACGTCCGAAAAACGCAAAGAAATCGGGCAGCTTCTTCGTACAAGGTTGGGAACTGAGTGCCATTCTCGTTCACGAGCAGATCGTGCCAGGGGATGCGACGGATATCGTTTGTCCCCGTTAAAAACTCCCAAAAGGCGATGTAGATGTCCATCACACTACTCCCACCGATGGGTAATCCGCCAGGGAGGTTATGTCCAGCACCAACGCCGCCTAGCCCACCCATGGTGGAGGTGCTTGAAGAGGCTCCTCCTGTCCCAACCACGACCCCATTGTGCTCGCAGTTGTAGTAGTGCTCGGAGACAGCGATCGTGACGTAATTCTGCGGTTTCTGGAGGACGTCAATTGAGACGTCGGGAAATTTCGCTGAGTTCTTGAGGACTTGGACGATCTCGTCACTCGTCAAGAGCGGGAAAATGTAACCCATTTTGTTGATCGTTCTCGAATAATGGTGTGGTTGTTGTTACTGCATTGTCAGTGTTAAATGCCTTGACTAGCGTAATCGCTTTCAAAGTATTGATTATATTTTAAGAGCGGTAACGGATGCTTTTCTTAAAATTGACGGACCACAGGGGGTCAGGGCTATTTCTCTACTCATCCGAGACTCTTCCTACAATTATGTACAGAAAATGTCAAACTCTACTGTGATTGAATGTCGATATGAGTATCAGTGCCAAAATACACCACCACTTGGCACTCTACAAACGCAACAAAACGACGAGAGGGGACGGGGCTCGTCGGGATAATCATAGGTGTAGAAGAGGAGCCTCTAGCATATCTATGATGATAGAGCGGCTACATCATTGACGAATGAAAAGTAGGCAATTTTCTTTCAGACAAGCTAGACAGAGAACAAAACGATGACGACGCGTCTGTTTCCTTTGTGTTGGCGATCTCGTTTGCGGATATCGAAGATCAAGAATGCGTCTAGTCAGAGACTGAGAGACAGATTGAAGACAATCTTATGTCGATACCGTTCGGAGGCAGCTCGACGAACAGGGCAGAAGAGGCACGATGCGACGACATCTTTCGCTGATGACAGTTGCGCTTGCACGATAGTGTCCACATCTTCTCTTTCTTCGAGGAGTTGTCTTTTCTTATCGCGATCGCTCGACTCTTCACGTAAAATACTAGCCAAGAAAAATATCCAAAGAATTGTTTCGACAGTTATACGCCCATAATCATACATATACGAAGATTGTCCAAGAATTCTACTAGCCAAGATGAAATAATCAGATTTTCAAATATGGTGTTTTCTTCCTCCAACGAGGAATGCGTGGCCTACTTCGGACCACGTTTGGAGCCAAGTGTAATCATAATCATAAAAAAGTGTCTGAGATGCGGAGCAAAACGCGAAAACAAAATGCTTTTCAGAAATGTGCTTCTATCACTAGCTGTGGAACATTTATACATCAACGAATCGAAAAAACCCTATGAAGGAATGTCTATGCATGGTATGTTGTGTTGAAAACGGTACATTTCGGTTATAGTAATACTGTTGCGTCAACAAGAAAAGAATGAAACTGGATGCGATCATACTTTTCTGCAAAAAGCTACAGTCGCTCGTTATGATCAACATGCCATAATCTTCTGTACAAAAATATTACCCACGACCACTTACAGTCACCAAGACAGTAAATGTACGAGATCAACACCTCAAATCTAAATCAAAGCAACCCCAAACCACTGCTCCCTTCACTTGCAGGTTCATCTATTGTGATCCTTAGGTGCTTCTAGATCCGACAGCCTCGTAGGCGTGGTCCTTTGAGTCGGCACCCTTCTCACGGGCCTCCATCTGCATGGTGTCGGACTCGTCGAAGACCAAGTCCTGGTTGGAGAGGACATGCTTGACCTCATCCAACGTGCGGATCTCCTCGTCGATGGCGGCATAGCGAGCCTGCGATCCCAGCATCCAGTAGTCGCAGCCTGGCTGCAACTTGTTGAAGGAAGCCAAGAGACCGGTGGTGCCATCCTTTCCGTACAGCTTTTCGCGCTCGGAGGGGAATGAAAGTGGGGATCAGGGAGTAGAAGGTGCTGTGGGTGAGGGGAAGACAAAAGGATTAAACGTAGTACAGAACGCATATAATACGTCGTGCATACCTTGCGAGAGTACGAAGAATTATGTTACTTAGTCACGCGCCGGAGTGACATCAACCGGTAAACGTCGAGACGAAAGTCTACATCACTTAGCAGGTATAGTATCCTCTTCATAAACCATAGTCCGTTTCCGCTGTTGTCTTCTTGCCCTCTTCCTCTGACTCTTTGGTCACAGAGGCGTTACGCTCTTTCTCCTTTCCACCAATAATAGATTCCGGAGTCTCGATGGTGGTAACCATACCTGGTCGTGAATTTGGAATGTTGAATTTCAATTTGGTTAATGAATTGAGAAAAATGAGAACAAAGATACAGATAGTGCTTGGTATATCCATCATATCAGACACGACACACATCATACATTGAAAGAAAATTAATTAGTCTCGACACTTCAATCAATACCAGCCTCAATTTAGATGTAGATGCATTGTCAATGAACTCGAACTCAATCCCAAAGTACCGCTTTCCTCCTTCTCACTTGCGTTTCCGATCGTGGCGACCATTTCATTTTGCTCAGTTGTGAGGTCGGTGATTTGCGTAGTCCTGTCTTTGCTCTCGTTCTTCATCTGGGTGACAATGCCGTCCAGCATGGTGATGACTGGCGCCAACGGGTTGGAGGTTTTCTTCGTCAAATCACCCTTAGATCCCTCGTTGAAGCGGGTAGACTTATCCGGCTTGTACTTGCGCAACTCAACGATAGCCTTGCCAACTTCACCGACAGCTAAATCGAGGTCTGCCTTGATGGCCTCGAGACTGAATGAGGTGAAGTTGGAGATGATGCTCGCCACCAGATCATTTTGATTGATGGAGTTGAGATGTTAACCGGGAAATGCTAGTAATGTTGCTGGTTTCCAACAGGACATCAAAGGACCCTCTTCAGATGAACAACAATTCGATGAGCGAAATAAGAATCAGATTTCGTGAATTATTAGATCAAAATGAAAATCCAAAGAAGTACTCTGACTTGCTCTCAAGGAAGATTTGGGTCTTCTTCTTCTTCTCCTCCATCAGCTCCTCGATTTCCTTCGTCAATGTCTCCTGTTTCGCGTTTTCTTGAGCGATAATTTCCGTGGATGCGCGGATCTGAGCATCCTGTCCGTCCATCTGTTCAGCTGCCGTCTTCGCATCCTCTAAAAGCTTCTTAGCGTCGGCTGTGCAGTGCTCCACGGAGGTCTGAATAGAGGTCTTTTCGTCGCGAAGTTCGGTTACCTGGTCAGCGATGGCGGACATGAGGACTTGAATAGCGGTCTCGCGCTCGCGCATCAGAGCGAGTTCCTTCATGCTGCGGAAGAAATTAGAAAGAAGGGTGTACAGATAGGAGCCTAGAAGCTCCATATTTCTCCTATCTTCCTTAGTTAGGCAGATGGTATTTGTTTTATCTTCTAGTCATTGACTTGACAAGGTTCTATCTAGTCATTGACTTGACATGGTATTTGTTTTATCTTCTAGTCATTGACTTGACATCTTTAGATTTTCTGAGTAGGTTACGAGAGAATGAAAATCTAAAGATGTCAAGTCAATGACTAGATAAAACAAATATACCCTACTCAGTTCTTTTTCAACATCAGTTCTCCATAAACTTGCTGTTTTCCGCGCTCCTCTGCTGCAGGAAGCTGACTTCCACGCTCTTGTCATCCTCATTCTTTTGGAAGAGATCTCGGTTGTCGTCGGAGTGGAGGATAGCGATGGCCTTATCGATAGCATCTTCCTGAGCCATGGAGTCGTTGGTGAAGGTCTCATACTCGGCATCCTGCTTTGTCTTGTTTTCTTCCATAACTTTGTCTTCAGCCTGAGGAGGAGGGTGAGAGGGAGAATTGATATGATCATGGGTCCGCGTCTGCTCGTAATACAAAGAGAAACTGAAGATCTAAAAAATCTAAATCTCTCATCTATACGTTTCAGTATCACTATCAGATATTCCGCAAAAACTTAGTAAGGTACGTCTGCATCTTCGATTTCCTTCTCCAGAGTCGACTTCAAATCGTTCAACTCTTGCGTCCTTCGTGCCTTCGCGGCTGCCTCGCCCTCGCCTGCTTGTTGCTGTTCCTGCAAGCCGCTAAGGGCTTCCTTCAGCTCCTTAATGAGAGCATCCTGTGCGGCCACGTCTTTCTCGTGTTGCTGAGTGGTGTCGACTTGCTCTTTCTTGTACTCGTTTTTGAGTGTCTGAATCAGCTCCACTATTGAGCCGACTTGTGATGAAGATTAGAGAGGAAATGGTGGTGCATGGTACTGTGGCGTAAGGCTCTCTGTGTTACTTTTTGATAGTATAGGTAAAAATTAATCCCAAGAAATGACACAAAAATTTGACTCACAGTCGGACGCATGTAGAATTTGAAAAATGAAAAAGTAGGAGGTAATTTGATTCAGGCATAATTATATCCCTCTGGGGCTTGCTGTTGCTGGTATTTGAGGAGTGCGACCTGCTGACTTGGAAGAACAAGCTTACTTTGGGACAGCAACTGCTTAAGTGTTCGTTGCTGCACGAGGACGGCTGTATGGTTGGTAATGGAGAAGCGGGATACTTCTAAATTTTCGTCGCCAGGATAAACAACCACATCAAAGAACGAATCGACCTGATGCTCAGTAAGACATCATCCTCAGCAGGTACGAAATCATAACTGGAAGTTTCAAAAATTACATGATCAGGACCTCGAACCAGAACTCGATTTAGAAAATTTAGAAAATCAACTCTATCAACACGTTCTTCGTACTTTGTCCTTGTATTTTCTTTTCTGCATCGGCAAGGGCAACAATGCCTGCATTCAAATCGGCCATATATGCGTCATATTTTGCTTTCTCTGCCGCTAGGTCTTCCTCTGCTTTTGCGATCTCCTTGTTTTTCTCGTCGATTTTTGCCGCATACATCTCACCCTCATCGGTGAGGGTTTTACCACCCTCCAATAATGCCAACTCGTTGTCGATATCACCGATTTCTGTTTTGAGTTTTTAGTCAAAAAAAGTGTTTCAACGAGATTGATCTCCTAACATTCGTCCTTCAAGTTGAAGGAACAGAAGGAAAAAATACAGTGCAGAAGCAATTTTTTCCTCCGTAGTACATCTACATGCAGATGAAGCTACAAGGGTAGATAGGAAAAGGTGGGGGTCTACTAGAGGAAGAAGTTCACTTCCACCAGCATGGAAAGAGAAAGAAGTTGTCGCGCAGAAAGCGGAAGAAGTTCACTTCCACCATTACAATTTACACTTACAAATTTTCCGACTTAGTTCGACGCACCAGCAGCGGTGGGCGCAGAGAAAGCAGACATTTCACAGACACAAAGAGAAAGCTATAGAAAGCAGTATTAAGTTCATCATCATCAGTAGTACTTGCCGAGTTTTCTTCCCGCAGTTTTGCATTCTCCTCTTTCGTTTTCTTCACCACGCAATCCAGTTTCATGTATTCGTCCTCTTGGGTTTTCCTTTCCTTCAGGAGTTCGCTCTTTGTGTCTTGCAACAGCTTGACGACCTTCATGACGCCGCTGCTCGCCGCTACCGCCGCGGGAGCGGCGGCGAGCAAGGAAACCCGCATTTTCGTCTTCTTGTTACTTTCACAAAAATATTTTCACCAATTATGTGGGTTTCGTTTGGAACAAATGCTGTTGTAGTGCAGACGAACTTCTCTATGTTACCACATCAATCATAAGTGGACAAATTATCAGAAGAGGAACGCGGAGAAGGATCTTTTCATGATCTTCCGAGTCAACCTCATGTCCTGACCGCGAGGGATCAAGATCTCGGGGAGAACAAGAAGTTGTGTTCTCATATTCCGCTCAGTAAGACACGCATTCACGATCCTTCTTGTGCTTCCTTTTCGTCACAAAATCAATTCCGAGTCCTGTGTGTCGTGGCTGAATAGCGCAGCTCGGCTGCTTCGTGCTGTTCTGTGGCCTCCTTTGTGAATGCAATCCATGCCGAACTCTCCATGAGAACACTGCGTTAAGAATGATGAAGAGTCTAGATTGTAGGTCGTTTTCGTTTAGTAAACTAACCCCTGCACTAAAAAGTTTGATTAAGATCGAGTAGAAGGAGGTGATAAGTAACACTGCATTAAGAATATATGCTCGAAGTATAGTTTTTTGATGTTAAGTTCCGTTTATCTCACCATGCTAGTTTGGTCCCCTTCTGCGTCAATCTCAAAGTTTGTTATGGTTTTTTCTACCACGAACTCAAATCATCAAGCTGCAGTGCTGATTTTCCCCCTGATGCGTTCCAACAGATTTGCGTTTCTCGCACTGCGTTGTAGGTCCGATTGCGTGTGGTCCAGCGTCGTATGCCTGCTCGTTACACCTGCAGATTTTTCGGTGATGGTTGTTGTCCGTGTTGGTAAGCAGTTGTGGTGGTGGAAGGCTTTTGTTGATGAAGCCGTTGTTTGTTGAGACTTTGGCTCTTCACTCAGGATTCAGAGAGAGAAAACGACTTTTCGGCTATTATTTCTGCATAAGTAATTAATATCTTCACTTCTCCCACTTTCACAGCTGATAAAAACCTTTCTTAAAAAATCAAAGAGTCTATCCCGTTCAAACCTTGTTCCGGCACATGTGACGCAGTCTGCGGCATTCCTCTGACAGCTAATGTTGCTTGTATGCTCGCTAGGGCTGGGCCCAACAGCGCGACACTGTCTGTGTATTTTTGCAACACACTATCCATCGAAGCACTTTTACGACCTTGCTCGTTCTGTATGGCAACGACCGCTTTGGATATATCATCTACTTAATTATTAGAGCAGGCGAATAATTCGAATAGTAACTTCAAAAGCAACTTCATCATGTAGGAAACCTGGTGTACAACTCTGAGAAAATAAAGTTAGACGGTCTGTGCACGAAGAAAAACCCAAGAACTAGACGCTACTAATTTAGTCCCTAGACGTTATAATTCACTGATCATAATAGCCGCTAGCTCCTGCATCGCCTTGTCTGCTTTGAGCTCCCTTTCTGCTATAATTCCGGCAACTTCTCGAGAAACACAATTGGTCAGCACATCAACCTTCTCCGACAAGACTTGTACAGCGATTGGTTAGAAGTGCTATGTCAACGTTCGCTACATGGATGGAGGAGCAAAAATTTTTTTACGAGAGTGTTTAGCAACCTTAAATCATTCATGAAAGTCAGCACTGAAGCTGAATGTACTACCTGAATTGCAGCTAGACTGAAACTCTCCTGCAGCGATCTGCAAATGGAACAGCATGTCCATGATGCCATAAGGCGCATACTGTATATCGTTTTTCAACGTCACCATTTCCTTAGCGAAGGCACTTGTCATGCCATTGACAGAGTCTTGGATGCGCCTTTCCATCGCTACTTGTTTCCGCTCTTGGGAAAGCTCGAGGGCGAGTAATCTGGAGGTCATGGAGGCTATGGGGTCGTTGGTAGGGCTTTTGGCGTTCATGGAGGCTGTTGGGTCGCTGGTAGAGATGCTACGGACGTTCGGGACCACGGACGAAGGCGGTGTAGTTAGACCAGGTAGAGGTACTGTCTGACACAAAAGATAACAAGAATACCACGCATCTAATCGTGCCACTACATTTGTTAACGCAGCTACTGTCGTCCTGAGCTATTGATGAAGATGTGGACAAGAAACTTCTATTCGAAAAACTGAAATAAGCATCAGAATAAGCGAGATACTGATGAGAAGGAAGAGTAGCCTTTATTTTAAGCTACCTCCCGTAATTCAGTCAGTAACTCGGTTATTTTCAGTTTTCGAATACTACAATGAGTTATAAGAGCTTATATACCACAACTACTAGAAAAAACAATGCTCAAAAGAATAGAGCGGTTACTAGATCTTTTTGTGGCCATACCTTCACGTCATTCACGGCTGGAGAAGTGAGCGATGTGCTGTCCACCGCTACAGCGCTCTGCTGGCTTACACTCCTCTGGGTACTTCCGCCTGGAGGTGAGCCAAAACGCGGCTGATTGCTGTACTCTGGAATGTTTGGAAGTGCTATACGGCGCTTTTGTTGAAGAGGTTGTTCTTGTTGGAATCTACTTCCTCGACCATGAAGATTTCGTTCTCGTAGCCGCCTGGAATTTTCCTCGTTGTCAAGAATATATTCTCGTCCAGTGGCTCCCTTTATTTGAATGGCCTGAAATTTGCCTTGAATTATGTGCAATTTGAACGTGAGCTCGTCATCTCGCCTAGGCAGGCGCTTGTCTGCAAGGCGTGTCTAGTTAGAGTGAAGGATGCCTTCGTCCTAGGAAGAATTCTTATATATAATGAATGGTTAGTTCTTTACAGCCCTTTGGTCTTATGAAAATGAAAAATATTATCATTATGGTCGCCATAACGAACGGAAAGAACACTTGCGTTCCACCTTCTTTCCCGTCGTTCAAGCCTGGCCCTGCCAGAGGTTCGCTCAATTTGATAAATCCACATCTGTTTCGGAAGTCAACATATGCGGATTTCCCTTTGTACCTTTTCCCAGCAACGGGAACTTGCTTGCTTGACGCCGTCTCGGGTCCAGCTGACTCCTCTCCACGCTCACTGTTCTTGATGTCAGCACTTGACGCTGAGATATCTTTGCCCTCGACAATACCGTTCTGCTCTACGGGAAGATCCACAACTACGGCGCGAGCCTGAGACTTCATCTCGGTCTCGATGTCCTCGTCTGAAGAGGCAGAAGCAACAGGAAAATATCCGCGACCAAGAGGACCCAACTCTTCTTGCGCTAAATTACTCCTGCTCCTCTGAGTGTCTTGATCAGCACTGTTGATGTTGTCAGCCTCAAGACCACAGCCCTCTTTCGTGGAGGTCATCTTAACATGGTCCGCCAATGTGGACTTGTTCTCCTCCAGCCCAAGGCCCTCTGTTGATTTGTCTTCCAACGAAGATGGGGGTACAGATGGTGTTTCCGGTACTGTTGCTGTTCTTGCTGCCATCAATTTAGTAGTATGATCCAACGGGAGAGGCGTTTTTTCGGGTGCTTCCTCCATACTAGAGGATGCAGCTGACGAAAATGCTCGTAAACGGTGGATATGCTGACCACCCGATTGTTTTCTTCGTGAAAGTCCACTCGATCTACTGAAGGAACATTTTTGCTGTACTAGGTTGATCTTGATCTGTCTGGCCGTGGCAGAAGTAGTTGCTGTACCACGACGAGCAGTCTTCATGAGCAGCCTGCCGAGTGCCATTGTCGTTTGGCTCGACATTTTCAAGCAGATGAAGTGGCGGCGAACAAGAACAGGACAGTGGCCAGGAGGCACACGATTACACGTCAGAATCGATAACGAGGAAGATGTATCACTTCTCAGTCTCAGGCAAAGATGAGAACATGACGAAGAGGCAAGAGCAACGCCATCTTCTTTATCGTGCCTGAGCACCAGCACCAGGAAAAAAGCCCCTTCGTTGTAGTTGCGAAACGGGCTCAGGAAAAACAAAAACAAGCCTCAACAGCAACAAACTAGAACTACAACAAGTCATCCAAAAAAATAACCACTAATCAAGTCCGTCGCATGGTGCTTCTGCTCGCCTTTGATCTTGATGTAGCCCCTACTTAATATATCCAGACAACGTCCTCCGTGGACCGTCACGTGCTCGTGGAGTCACGCGTAAGAAATTTTCATGAGAGTTTTTATCATGCGCGAAAATTCTTGTCCAGCGTGGTTAAGGAAATCCGTACCGCTGAAGTGAAAGTGAATGTGATGTTGTGTGATAGTGATGTAAGTTGGTGTAACCACCAGATAAAGACAATGATTACTATGAAGAGCCGGCCCAATAGAAGCACCAGTTGGTAGTACATCTTACAAGAAACAGTTTTTATGAAGACATCGAAAACAGTCATGAGCCCCCAAGTTTCCCCCTAATTTTCGACCACATACCGTCTGCAGGCAGATCAGACTCTTCTCCTCGGTAGTTGATCGTGTCAAGGTCGTCAACGCCAGAACCAGATGTACTTCTTGTGCTACTAGTACGCTCATCTTCCCCTTGCACAGGAGACTTCGTGGTGTTGTGGTTGTGACGCGCAGCTTCCTTCGCCAATGTCGGAATGTGTATGAGAGAGCAGGCACATGATCAACAAGTGAGATATCTCTAAACGATAGCGTTAAACGAGTCATGGAGGATTATGTGATCGTAATTGCTAGACGCAAACGCATGGTACTTGTTGTGCAACATGGACGGGTCACCAAGAAAAGATAAAATGATATACAAGAAGAATTTTCACTTTTCACCTTAACCATGAATGACACGCCGTCCACGTAGGCCTGTGATAGTTCCGCAAGTTTCCTTCTGTTCTCCTCTCTTTCTACCTCAAAAGCTTCAGAAAGTTGCTTTTTTTCCCGTGTCAACGTCTCAGCAAGCTGATGAAACTTCTGCGTGAGCTCTTTCATGGCAATGGTAGTTTGAGCCTGTTCCATCTTGCAGGCGAGGACCTCTGCTTCAAGTGCAGCAATCGTGAAGTCCAGTTTCTGCGACAATTCGCGAACGACATGTGCATTTATGCGGTCACCCCCGTCCGTTTCTTTGTGTTTCCTCGTCGTGTCATCTTCTCCAGTAGCTCGTATATTAGAAGAAATCCTCAGTGTCCTCGGAAGGGGGAGCTCTTGTTTCCCTTGCAATAACAACTGGAAACTTAGTCCCTACTAACTTCTGTAACTACTGTAAGAGTAAGAGGATCGAAAACGACTCATGCTAGCAGCCTTAACATCCACCGCCACTGCTTGGTATTCCACCACATCACCTTCATTTCCAGCGCCGTTCCCATTGCGCACTGCCTCTAGCTGAAAGGAGACCCGATCTCCTTTACGTGCCACCCTTTCACTCAAGAGTTTAGAGAAATCAAATGGGACTTCTCGTATAGTCTGTCTTATACCTCCTTGTTGACCACCAGCTCCATGTGTTTCATCAGACTCCTCCTCCAACATTGAAATCTTCCCTCTTCCGTGCCTCACAGCTGTCTGTGATACGATTCCAGTATAGATTTTGCCGGGCACAACAACCATTGAGGGCATGCTAGTACTGGTGTACTTTACAGGTGCTGGTGCGCCATCTTCATCTGCAGGAGTAGTGCTTGCATTGGACGGAGGAACTGATGTGCGCGTGCGGTTCCAGAGTGACGATGAAGATGTAGACGGCGTTGTCGGATGTGCGTGGTACAGCTCTTGTTTTCGCTGATGATGCCACTGCTCCTTCTGATGTCTTTGCGGGGACAACTTCTGTCCTTTTGAGTAACCAACATTATTGTAATTATCCTGCCACTGCCTTTGTGATTGGTTTCCAAAATCACCTCTTCTATGCCCTTGCCGCTGGTGTCGCTGCGTTCGTTGTCCGCTTGCTGTTGCTTGTGATTGTTGTAAATAATCAATAGACTCCTGCTCGTTCTGCTCAGAAGATGATGACACTGCTCCTGAGACGCGACCTCCAGCTTGAGCCTTAAGCCACCACTCGTCATTGTTTCGCTGATGCTTTGTTGTGGAGGTTGTAGAAATTTTTGTAGTCGTTGTCCTCGTCGTGCTGGTACTAGGACCTGCTGCAACTGTGGTAGCTGCTGTTGTGGAGGTTGAAGACGAAAAATCACGACCACGAGGATGTGGAGCACTACATACGAAATTGAAGCAGGAACACGATGTTCCCCTTGGCCACGCACTCACTTGTCGTGCTGTCGGACGAACAGGACGCGTCAATAGCGACGTCGTGCACTGCAATTGCATCTTCATTTTTTTTTCTCTACTGCGTTCCCCCGGGCGTGCACATAAGGGTATATGTGCACTTTTTGGTGATGGTGATGTGTCTCTCAACCACTTATTAGGACACTTAGCACTCCTTATAAGCAATTTCAACTTGTAGAACTAGAAGTCGATTTTTTTTAATCATATTGCCTTTCGATTCCGTTTCGCATCTTCAAAAAATCTCTCCAAACGGGTAATCCTTTGTAACAAGAAAGCCACACAAAGGAAGCTCTTGCCAGAAGCTCCTGAATGAAAAGAGGCGCGTCACATTGGACATCGTGTTCTAAATCTGTGATATGGGGGGTTCAAGGGTTCGTGATTCCGCCAAGAGCGGGTCTCGACGGCTACGGGTGATGAGAAATCTGGTGTAATCATGATAGGCATGATGATGATATTGCTTTTGATGTCGTGGCATCGATTTTTACAGTTTTCTTACCACAGAGCTCTTCTAAAGCATGATGTTATTCGACTTTGTTGCGGTTGTGCAGTGGTGCAAATCAAAATTATGCATGGCTATACAAAAAGTGACTTCTATCATGTTAGTACATTTTGCGTGTTACGCTGGGTTCATTGAATGCTATTGCTACGTGCTCGCCCTGTTCTTGTGTAGGTATCCTTGTCTACTGTCCTGGCCCCCTTAAGAATCGACGTAGCCTTATGGTGTTTTGAGTAGCTTTCCCTTAAAAATAATCCGTCTAATTTTCCGACTTACTAGGATGAAGAACACACTAAAAAACGACTTGGTTTTCGGAATGGAACACGCCACAAGAATGCCGGCGATCACCTGACTCGCAAGTAGATACTATGCTGCAGAGTCACCATTGAGCTTCCCCAAGCGTGGCCGAGAAAAAGCTTAGACGTTAAGAGCTATTGCTGTTGCTACGTACTCGTCCTTGACTTTATTAACTTGTTAGCATGGCAGACGCACTATCGAACAAAAAATGCAGAGGCATTGATGAGATATTACTTTTCACTGGATTACGTTCAGAAAGCAGAATGATAAAAGAGACTCCTCCATCTATAGCACGACTACTCGAACTCACAGTTCAACTGCAAGCTTCAACGGACGATATGATGCTTACAACTTAGTGTGGATGCATAACAATGTGACTTCTCGTGGATGCATAACAATGATATCAATAACTAGCCGCGATACGCATCGACCTAAAGCTGCATACCGTTCATTAAGTATAACCAAAACCTATCATCTTCTACTTCTACGGTATATTGATCAGCGAATAGAAGTATAATATACTTGAAGTTTCTGCAAAGTTAGGGGCATCCTCTACTATATCTTCATTGACGAGTAGAAGTATATCTTCATTGAGTTACTATATCTTCATTGACTGAAGAGAAGTCAAGTACTCTTACTGCGCAAATATCTTTTCCCATGAAAATTCGATATCGGGATCTTTCGAATAGTCATCTTCATTAGAGGGACCGACGTGCATCCCTGAGAGCCTCCCTCGGCCCTTTTTCCCCTTGAAAAAAGGGCTAAGGATGGTCTTGAGGATGCTCCAGCGGTAGCCTTAACTTCAGGTAAGTCGAGGCTTTCTGCTGTGTACACTTCTTCCTGCGGGACCAGTGGAGCTGGCAGCTGTCTTCCCAGAAGCAAGTCGAAACTGAAGCCGGAGAAAAAAGCGTGCTCCCGAATGTCCCAGATGCCGCGGAGCGAACCTGAGGTAAACTACGCAGATGACGAGGGGTGGTTGATGGGATTGCCTGACCCTAGCTAATATGGCTAGAGACTGACCCTAGCTTGAGGTAAACAACTACGCAGATGTTGATGACGAGGGGTGCTTGATAAGATTGGGACCCTAGCTTGAGGTAAACAACTACGCAGATGAAGACGAGGACTGGTTGATGGGAGCCTGTAGCTATGGCTTTGGCTATGTAGTCTATGCATAATTGTCGGAGATGAAGGGGGATCATTGGGAGGCAGCTGACGTCTCTGTCAAAAAAGACTGATAGGGATGTTGTTGTAACTGTAACTGTCGTGACATATTTTTTTTCGACAATGGGAGAGACAGGATCAGGAGTGTTAAAATAAGAGGAGATAAAGCCTTGCAATAACGATAACCAGTCGTCGTGAGAGAGCAGCAGACAAGAAGGCGTGTGAAGCATCCAACTATTCGATAAACTGAAATAAGCGAGTAACTAGTGAAAATAAGAGAGATATTACTGAAAGAAGAGGAATGTAGTCAAGACTCTCATATTTCAGTCAGTAACTCGCTTATTTTGAGTTTTCGAATAAATGTAGATAGTACAGCATCAAACTGTAGGCGTGTGAAGCATCCAACTAGATAATAGAATAATTTATAGGGGTGCCAGCTCCGGGATGGGATGGATCGGATGGAACGGATGGACTTCCCACCATTTCAAGTAGGATCGGAAGAATCAGGGGGGTCCATCCGATCCATCCAAGTCCATCCTACATCCGTTCTATAATCCAACTAGATAAGGAGGGGGTAACAACCCCCGTTCTATAAGCGTGTCAACAACTAAATCCAACTAGATAAGTACAAGTAGTAGTACATCCAATCCTCAATTCAGGCGTTCTGCATAGCAACCTTTTAATCAGATCCATGGCTTCTACGTCCTCTACGTAGTCTGGGAAATGGAGTCTACCAGTGAGGATTTCCTTGAAAACGATGAGTTGGTCATCGCCAGCGTCGTTTCCAAAGGGCAAGGGGCCGCACAGGAACTCATAGAGGCATACGCCCATGCTCCAGATATCAACAGATTGGCAATAGCCACGGCCAAGCACGATTTCAGGAGCCATGTAATGCGGGGTGCCGATAAGGGTGAAGGTTTTACCTGGAGAAATGCAGGAGGTGCTTTTCGAGAAGAACCGTACTAGTCAAACTTCAGCACATCATGATGCACAAGCGGAGAAGTTGTGAGATGGAGTCTAACATCAATAAGAAGGATGATGAACAATCTGTTTAGATTGTAGGCCTAGTGATGAATTTGTTTAGAAGATTGTAGGCCTAGGCGCTTTCATCAGTAGTTAGTTACTAATATGATAAATATTTTTTTTGAGTAGAAGTTCAAAGACTTCCTTTCTTTTCTCTCATCCTTGAGCCAAAATGGCTACAGATGGAGTCTAACATCAACAATAAATGGCTACGGCTAGATGAAGGTGGAAAACGCAGTACCAGACTCCCCCAATTTCCTCGCACATCCGAAATCGATCAATTTGATGTAGCCCTGAGAGTCTAACAGCACATTCTCCGGCTTTAAGTCCCTATAGGCAATGTTTTTCTCGTGCAGGTAGTCCACGGCAAGGCAGATGGAGCCTAGATAAAACTGTGCTTGCGTTCTCGAGAGCAAATCGAGTTCGCGAATGGCATCATAGAGCTCGCCTCCAGTAACAAGTTCGGTCAGGAAGTAGAGGAATTTGCTGTCTCGGAAAGTTTGGGTATTAGAGAGGTGAGACGGTTTTTACGTTCATCGCTTCGAAGATTGCCGTGTGTATTCAAACAAGCTCTTTACTTGATCAATCGTACAAAACAAAAGGGACAGGTGCAGGTCATAAACATAATTGTTTGTTGTACTTAAGTACTACTTATGTTGAATGAGGTGATGAAAAAATGAAAGCAGAAGTTACGACCTCAAATGCCGACGCAATCACTCCCCAACCATAATCACAAGATGCACTATGAATGGGTGGTCGTTCTCAGCAAGTATCTCCCGTTCCATTCTGATGCTTGTTTCCTGCTTCTTCTCCTGCACGACCATCTTGCGAACGCACTTCAAGGCATATCGGACTTGCGTTTTTTGGGATTAGATGGTGGTAGAGCTAGATATGCGAGAGCTCCTCGTCGACGAGGATATTGATGGAAGGTCGTGAAAAACTCAACGTTCCTGTCAGAGTCAGATGAGGTATTCGTAATCAGGATGGACACCGAGTGACCATGAAATTATGGTGACGAAACGTTTCATAATCATTATGCACCAGCTTCACGGTCCCAAACGTTCCACGACCCACACATCTATCCACTTTGAGGCTGTCTTTTGAGAGAAACGTGTTCTGCAATTGAATCCTATATTCGAGATGCTTCAGCATCAACGAGTCCTTGGACATTACCCGTAGAAAAGCGTCTTTGTCGAGGGGCATTAGAAGAGGTCCTTTCTATTATTCATCTCTGTTTGTTCCAAAGCTGCTGGCGGTGCCTGCCACTAGAAACACACAGAAATAAGAGCTAGCGTAGGTAATGATCGCCGACAACACGAGCATCAAGACCATCAATATAAGCCATAAAGAATACAGCACCGTCCCTGGTTGGTTTACGATGATCGAAGCGGACCGTGGTTCTTCAAACATCAACGCTCGTTCTCCAAAGTAGTCGCTTTTGCCCATGGTTCTCAAGACTTTAGGCTTTGCTTCTTCTCCACCTCCAGCAATGGTGAGTTCCGCACGTGCTTAGAGCAGTGGCATGGCATGAGTCTCACAACATAGTCCTCTTTCACATATTATTACTATCTGGGAGACTAAATATTATCCAGGACACGTCGAAAATGCCTAAAAATTGTGTGTTCGTCCACGCGGTGATCAACACGACAACTGAACACTACATGAGTATGAGAAAAGAGAAGGATCAGATCTGATGAAAGCTTGAACTACTTGCATCAATAATATTCCAGTGAAGCATAGGTACTAACTTACTAGTTGCTGTTAGCCTTAACGTACTTCTCCATTTTTGATGATGAAAAACCGGTCTCCCACGTCTCCTTGAGCAAACACAACCTCATTCTCCTTCAGTGGCGGCAATTCTCGAAACCCTCTGGCTAGTAACAGAGTTTGGGCGTCGGACAAATAGCGGAAGATAGTCACCTTCTTCAAAGTCTGCAAGCGGTTGTTCATGTCGGCATCGCCGAGTTGAAGTTCGGACCGATTAGAATGGAGAAGCGGATCATATTACAGTCTTTTTCTTTTAGCTAGTACCCAGTACTTGGTATGAGAAGTACACAGTCTTTTTCTTTTAGCTAGTACCCAGTACTTGGTATGAGAAGTACACAGTCTTTTTCTTTTATTTTAGCTACCCAGTGAGCATAAAGAAGGCGTCAGGCGCGAAGGATGCGACAATCGTGTTCCCAACAGCGACGTTGCGTATTCTTGCACTGAATTTTTGCTCCACGTTCACAAGAAGGGATCCACCTCAAATTTTCGGTGATTGGCGGAATTGGCAATGAGATCTTCACGTCGTTACAAAGATGTTCGAAGATGCGTAGACTTTAGAAACTACGGATTCGGAGTACAACGAACTGAAAAAAGCAACATGTACCATACGCTTCCCCAGCTTGCATTCTGAATGGTCCTCCTGAATCCTGCTCCGTGGACACCTCCGCTTCACCAAGTAAAAGCACGAAAAATCGTGTGCCATCTGGAAACCCTTTTGGTGTCCGTCCTGTACTGATTTTGCGGTCAACCACAGCAGGTGGATTAGAAGTTGTCACTTGAGGAGATGATGGTCTTCAGTGGTTGTAGCAAACTACCATTAGATGCCTGAGCCTGAGGAGGACAAGCAGTAGGTGTAATATAGTAGAACAAGAAGATCACGATATATTTCAACACTCCATGACTTAGACTGTATTAATTACCATCGCGGCCATAAAAACTTCACTCCCCGAACCTGGAACAAGAACATCCCGGTCTTCTGGCGGCAGTGTTGTGACGGTCACGTGGCTGAGGAGGGATCTGACTTGAGCACGATTGACCCCTGAGAAAATGTCTAGCTCATTCAGAGCTTTTTCCATCACGTGGAGGAAATGTAGTTCCTGAAGCGCTGTCGAAAACTTGTTGATACCTGAGGTATTCGTACTTGCGCCTCCTACGGAAGTGGTGTTGGAGTTAGAGGTGTTCCTGAAGTGCTGTACTTGTGCCTCCTACGAAAGTGGTGTTGGAGTTAGAGGTTTTGTTGCCCTACACGACCTGACATCGTCATGCAAATTCTTCGTCAGGAGAACGAGGAGAAGTGATAGTGAAGATAAGCTAAGTATCAACACCAACAGCTAGTACAGCCTTTCTTAATAGTCACACCCCCTCCACCAGCCGTACTCGCACCCGCTCCACCTCCTCCAGTTGATGTTGTACTCGTGATATTATGTTGTGCACTGCTGGCTCCGGTACTCTGTGCAGAGAGGACATGTTGATTTGTAGTAAAATCGAGGAGCTCTATCCGATTCCGATTGACCTCGATGCAAACCGCAGGAACAGAAGAAACTACTTTGGCGTCGGAGATTAGAAAAGTGAGGGATGCTAGAACGTCCACGTCGAGGTGGTTTGATAAAAATCGAAAAAACGGCATGTATTTGCATGACAAGTCTTCAGATGAACAAGAACAACCACCGCCCTCCATAAAAAAGCATGTGCCACACTATCGCTGAGCAACGCATCTGCACCCCAAAAATCGCCTGCAAAGAACTTTTGCCCATTCGATGCTTCTACCTCTCCACTTTTCAGCACGTACAAGCTATCGTTCGCTTCATTCTTCCGACAAACTTCTGAGCCAGGTTGAAAAATGGTCACCTGAACGCCGTCACAGACTAAGTTTTTCTGTTGGCCCAATAAGATTTCGAAGAAAGGCACACGGTTTAACAAGCGCATGTTCTCCTCGTATTGGGACTGAGAGATTTGGCGCAAAATTCTTCGAAACTCGAAATTCGGAATGCCCCAGAGGTAACATCCCGAGTTTTCGCTTGTGAAAGTTAGAGTGTGTAAGGATGACGTGCTGGTGGTTGTAGTTGGTCGTGGCTTCTACTTCTTTAATTATAGAGGACCGCCACTACAACTACACCAGATTCTGGAGATAGTGAAAGAAAATCTCACTGTCGTTGTATGCCAATGCCGATGTCCTGCGAAGGCAAGAACGCCAGCTCTGGCGAGATCCCGAAATAACACTAACCACGCTACGTCAAGAGCAACTACAACAAGTACAAACAAGAACACCATAACTTATTCTTCAACGAAGCAGTGACGCTGGCAGAACGCGGACAATTGTGGATCAACGCTATCTCTCCAAAGGAATTGCCTCGTCGGAGCACATTGACGAGCTTTCCACTAACAGAAACCTCAAATTCGCCTTCGTGGACTACGGCAGATTAGAAGCGGTTTTTCAATAGTACGAGCACAAGATCCTTTCGTGTATGGTTCTGGTATTTGGTAGCCTGGGTTTGATCCTAAGCGTTCTCTTCTTGTTTTCCCTTATGATCAAATTCAGGTTACCAAATACCGGAACCATTCATTTCGACAAACATCAAGAGGACAACGAACAAATATTCTTGACAGCACCTTGTCCGAGTAGTTTCGAAAACTATCAAGCCAGGTAGTGGGTCACGACTTTTGATGGCCCTCATCTGGCTTCGCGAGTAGTTGAGTGAGTAGTTTCGAAAACTAAACTCATCTATGTTGTCTCTTTATTAATGTACTTACTCCGAAGATGTGATTCATCTGCCAACATAAAAGAAATAACTCCCTTGTGCCCCTTGCTGGCAGACTGTCTCTCCTGCCGCAAAGTGGTAAAATTCGACAGCTGCGAGGATTTTTTCCACTTCCTTGTCCTGCAAGGTTGATATTACACTGTTGCCGCGCAAAGCCTCTCGGACCAGAGCTAGGTCTTCGGCATCTGGAGATTAGAGGATGAAGCATGATTGCTCTTCTTCACCTTCCTGCTCATCTTCTACTAGTAGAGAGAGAGTCTTAATTTGTCTTCTCCTTCAGTTTGTTTCTCGCAAGGTTGCTCTCCGCTTGGCCTGAGAAGTAGTCGGCGGCTGCTGCGAGCGACGCCGCTGGGTGCTGCTGCCTTGACCGAGTGGTGCTTGCTGTCGTTGTCCCTCCTGGGGTTTTGCTGGGGTCTTAGAAGGCGAGTACATCATTCAACCAAATTTATTTTCATCGTAAAAAAGATAAATGCAATCATCTGTACTTACTGGGCAAAGTGCAACTACGACTTCTGTTGAGTAGTAATTATAGGTGAAATTCGTAGTAATTATATTACATGCTAGCTTTATGCTAAGTGCTGTCGTTTGTAGAGAGACTAAGTCTAACTCAACATCATTCATCTTCATCATAACCTCCCAATATATTCGAAGCACTTTCTCCACCTCCTGATCCTGAGCATGTTGGTGTTCCTGTCGACACCTCTTGAGACCGTGACAAGCTAGACACCACTATTTGGCCTCTGATATCCCCAGTGATACTGTTTTTCCGAACTATGATGGGTACCGCAGCAGACTGGTCCTCTTTGATATTGATCAATGTCACGACTGGTGGTAATTGGCCTCCATCTGCGGGTTTCGTTGCTGGCCCTGTAGCGGTATGAGCACTTGTTCCGCCACCAGCGAGTCCAACATTTGCATCGGACGACGACGAACCCGCTTTGGCACTTACACAGCCCATTTTTTCTGATATAATGGACTTGCCTATAATTCACTCTTCAGAGCTAGTATGATCAATTGATGTGGAGCAGAAACATCCTGTCAACTACAAATAGAGCTGCTCGTCTCTCGTTTCATTTAAAAAAAATCACGTATCTTCCAAATAATAATTATACGCACGCTTCTTGTAATGCTGGCGTTCTAGACGATAGTGGATTGATCAACCTTCAATACCTTCCTTAACTAAACAAGAAACAAGTAGACCAAGCAGACCTATAAACCACAGTTGGTTATTATCATGTAGTGTAGTAACAAATAAATTGAAATTACTCAAGGACGAGAAAGTATGAGCAATAATTTACTACTTAGCCTTTCGCGTCCTCTCCATCTTGTCGTTTCGCTCTCGATAAAAGCTGAAACAAAGCTCGGGAAGACCGACTTCGAAGATCTAGGATAAGATAGGAACTCGAACTAACAGAAAGTGTCTGTCATTCTCGTCACCCAAACCTCCGATTACCACAACCTATTAGTACTAAACTCGTCACCCAAACTACTAGTACTAGTACTACTAAACTCAGCAAATAATTGAAGGTACCCCGCGGACGTTGGTTGCTGGTGGACCACATGAGTATGTTGTTCCTTCTCTCCCACAAAAAAAGAATCACTCTAGTATTCCAACTCGGATGGATCTTTTGAAAGAACACAGCAATGCAGTGCTGTCCTCTATTTTAGGAGTGTTGTATATTTTCAACTGAATATGACTGTGATTCTTTTTGATTTTGTCTTGACGCGATTGGGCAATATCATACTCGTTCAAACTTGTGGAGGTTTCTCGTTAGGATTAGGATTAGGAAGGTCCTGTCCGCCGTCCGCAGATTTACCTGTCGATCTTAATACTCCATGTTTATGGTAACAGAAGTTTTACTAGTATCTGTAGTAGACATCATTTGCAAATGTATAGAAGATACTAGTCGTGTTAGTACTACAATTCTTGTACTTGTACGTAGTAGGTATAGCAGGTTCTAAAAATACAGTGTAGTTAGCTGGGTATGGGTTGTATTCTCCAAGATACTATGATGGTTGTACTGCGTAATACTATAATAGGTTTGGTACTAGCTGGGGGATGTTGATGTAGACCTTGAAGGGACGTGTGCTTTACACGAAAAAGCTTGTGGATCAACAATGAATCAAAAAAGATGAGCAAGATCTTCTTTTGAGTTCTTCCTGTACACGTACATCATGATACGAAGACATGCAGTCGCTGCAGAGTAGTCGAGCTACAAGAACTAACAAACGTGCATGTACTTGAACGATGATGCAAAATAATTTTCAGTGTTTTTTTTTTCAGAAGATGTTCGTCGGGTTTAGAAATAGTTGCTCATCTTCGTAGTTACTTTCATTTTCACCAACACCAAGATCTGTCAAAACTGGTTAAGTATTAATACTAATAAGCTAGCAAGTAGGCGGTCAGGTACAGGGTAAATACTTTTTACAACATACAGAATTAAAAAAGGGTTTTGCTGGACACAAGGATATTATGGGGTCCTTTTTGTTTTTGGGGTGTTCACGACTTCCTTTTAGCCTTGTGATGGAAAAGGGACAGCATCTTGCTACTTCCATGATGCATGAGCTATACAACAAAACTACCATCTTCTTTCAGGAGATGTGGTAAAACAAGTTGGTTCTGATAACAGTATTCAAGATAGAAGGAGATAAGTCGTCTCTAAAGCCTTCTCATAATCTCCCAAATTTTGTCGCTTTCGCTTCCAAAATTAAAAAAAATTGACATCCTAGACCAAAAATTGGCTGTCTGAGAATACTAGATTGAAATAAACCTTCGCAAAAGTGCACGATATGGATGATCCCTCTTAGAAGACAAAGAAGACTTTGTGTCAAGTAAGAACTGCTGGCACTACTACTAGGAGCCTCTTTGTATCCTTGACGGGCGAGCAGTAGTCCTTTACAAGTTTTTGTACTAGGGTCTATTCCGAAAGCTGTATTATTTCTCCAAACGACAACTACAACAAGAAAGGATGAAATTAATTATGACCTTCAAGAACTTCGCTTTTCATAGTTTTTTACTCAAACTCGATAGCTTTTGCAGAGCTAGATGCGATGCCCGTTTACGTTTTTGCATTGCCTACTTATCTTCTTCACTGTTTCTGCGGGAGAAGACCCTTTTAGGCAAGCAAAGTCCCTCTTCGGTTGATGAGGAGCCGTCGAGGAAAGTCCAAGATAAAAAGGGGATTAATGCAGCGATGAAAGGGGATTAATGCAGGGATCGTCTTTAAAAAAAAAAAAACGAGACGTAGAGGACAGGGACGAGACAATGATTGTCAAGGAACCAAACGGGACCACAACTCCAACTGAACACGGAATTGTAAGGAGACAAGCTAAACCAGGTGAATACTTTTGTAGAGGAAGCTAAGGGTATTAATCGAGAAGAAGTACTAATATCATGGGTCTCTCTATTCTACTATTTATTACTACTATTTTTGATGGTTCTCTATCTATCATGCTCACCCGTTCATCTTCAGCTGTCGCAGACGTGGTCGTTCTACATGATCATTCAATATCGACGTGACAACGACTACGGCTGTAGTACCGTAGTCTCTATTCCTCGTATTCAACATCCCCCAGTGGTGCTAGAGGACGTTTATACTCAAAACTGTCACAACTGCCGTGCAGTCATCCGTTACCTCCGGTTTGCCATGCGATATGTGAACCAATTTCATGGCCAGTTTTTCCAGCAGATCCACGACTCCAGGATGGTCCGGATCAAAGTCCTTGTCGTTCGTCTCGGCCAAATATCTCTGCATCTCTTGCAAGTGATGCTCATTCTGTCGCAAACATCGGAAGATGTCGTCCCCACCCAGACCATCCCACAAGCCGTCGGTGCCCTGGATGATGATACCCTGGATGCAAGCGCCGTTGGGCTGCGTGGCAGATTGGGGCAGATTGGGGTTATTTTCGGGAAAAACCTTCCACATGTCCACGTACCGCGTCTCCGGAACGATGGAAATCACATCGAACGGGATTTGTTGCTGTGAGGATAAAGTGAATGAATGAATGAATGAATGAATGAATCATGAAAGTGCCTAACAAGAGGTAAGTGTTTTTTTTGATATGTTGTTGCTTGTAGTAAGAACTGATGCACTGATCCTGCAGGCCGTTCGATACAGAGAACTCGAATTTGTGCTTTCATGCAATGTTACGACAGAGTTCCTCCTCATCGATATCACTTATTATAAAATTACGCCATCGGAAAGGCAAATGTTGTCCTGCGTGTCTACTTTACTTATCATCTTCAGGTATCTAAATAATAAATCGTAGTATGATGTATCTATAAGTACTTTGATATCCAAGTCGCCGATCGTTCTGCTTGGCTCGAGGCAACCTGCGATTCGACCTCCGACTATGTGATGATAGCCTAGTGCGCGAATCCTTGTTTTTTCATATGCTCTGCTTGCCCTGAAGTCACGACTTAGCCATTGAAATTTTCCTAGTACTACCCCTTGCTTGGCTGCATTTAGGGAACAATTGTGATGTTGCATTTGCAGTACTTCTGGGTCTTCAGGTGATCCCGATCCGGCGTTGCTTTTCAGCCCTCCTGCAGTATAATTGTTCTTGTTGAAAAAATTACCCAGCAAATCCTTTGGCGGAGCTAAGCCGAAGTCCGATATAGGTTTGTTCAGTTTTGAACTTCCTCTTCTCTGCTGCCCTGTTCCGCGAGGAGGACCTCCACCTTCGACCTCCAGATCTTGGTCACGACTCGGCAATTGGATTGGTACTAGACCATTACTTTTACTTCCCGCCGAGGCGTAATCCTCGTTAGCCGAGGTTGAACCAGTCTCTGAAGAGGTTGAGTCACCGGTTGTGGAAGCTGGATCCTCCATTCCCGGCATTACCTTGGTCTTTCTGGATTTCTTAAAAGGACCTGCAGCAGATGTATCTTCGAACGGAGCGCTAGGTGGATCTACTTGTTCATCGAGTAGAGGATCATCTCCACCACTCGTCGCACTTGTTGTCGTTGAAATCTTAAATGACTGTTCTTGCTGCCCTTCTGCTCCTCCGTTAATTGTTGTTGTAATTTTTCCACTTGTAGTTCCCTCGTGGTCCTCGCTTCCCTTCTCCCCATGATAATGTGGGAACAATCCCCCCAAGGGAACGTACAATGCGCGACAATCGCCTAAATTACTGCAGTAAACGACGCCATTGTGCACTGCTACGCTATTCACGCACGCACCAGCGGTGCTTCGACGTTGCTTCATGCGCCGCTCGCAAACTTCTAATGCCGCAACGTGTGCCTCATGCATGCTCTTCCGCTCATTAAACAGCCCTTGCATCACACGAGAAGGCAATTGCTCTGCTACAACTTCAGCAGCTAGAGCTCCATCATGTCCGTCCATCACGCCACATAAAAACATATCAGTCGACGCGGGTGGACAAGGAGCACCGTTTAAAGCCGCGGCATTCGGACTAGCTTCTTCCAGTACATGCTCTTCGCAGAAAAACCTATCCTCGTTTCCATGGTGCTGCGGCTTATTCCTCGCACTAAACGCTCTGCAGAGAAAGCGGGTAGTGGACTTGCTGTTCTTACTGTTGGCAGGAGAAGGTACAGAACCAAGGTCTTGGTGCCAGACAGGAGCTAAACTTCCCACAACCAGAGGATGCGTGCTGCCAGTGGTCTCTGGTTCGCGATGAAAGTAACCCTCGACATCTGCAAGGCCAGCACCAGCACCTAGCGCTATCTTGTTATTGCCTCCAAAAGCGGAAGGGCCCCTCATCTTGTTCGCCATCCTCTTCTAGGTCAAGTTAGGTGCTGTGGGTCTACTCAGTCTCTTCTTCTTCAACAGGGTCGTCGTGAAGATCGGTGTAGTTGGCAGCAGAAGAAAAAGAAGCACAAGAAGAAGATGAGACCTCCCTCTGTCAGACACGACCGGCCTTGTTTCAACCACCGAGTTAACGAGCTTCTAAGAAGGTAAGACTCACGACAGAGCCCCTTCGCCTTGCTTCCGGGTGACCAAGGATAGGATAGGATTTGATTCGCCGTCCACAGTTTGACCCGTTACCATACCTCACCAAGTCCGAATTCGATGAATTAAGAGCTTTGCAGTGGCTTAGTAGGCTTTATCGAAGATAACAGGAGCACGTCGTTGATGGTGTAATCATAGATGAATTAAAGCGCGAATACTAGGAGGTATACGATGAGGTACTGAGTTGTATAGGTAGACCAATTGCTTTTGGTATCGGTTGTTCTCTTGGATATAATTTATTACGCAAGACGAAGACTGCGCTTGTTGTATTATAAACAGTACAACCTACTGCTACTGCTTCTAGCAAAGAGCAAAGCGGGCACTATTATACTGAATTTATGTAATGTATGAATGTTGTAGTCCTCATGTAGAAGAATTCAATCATGTAGAAGAATTCTAGTTTGGGTAGGTAGCCAAAACTTGTGGGTTCTTGTGCGCGCATAAAGCATGCACAAGATGTCCCACCAAAGACAAAGTGGGTGTATCTATGATCTAACAGAAACGTGATATGAAGGCTGGTGGGGGAGGCGAACGATAACGAGTTAAGATAGAACGATACGAAAAAAGAGAGTGCCTCCGCAACTTCGTCACACAAGGTGACTCCGATTAACTATATACATCAACCTCTAACCATCAATAGCAACAAGGATGAAGAAAATGCAGGAGGATGTCAAAAATAACAGCATGCTCTACTTGAAATAATTAAATGAAGATGATAACAAGCATGTTCACAAGTCGATTACGATTCTCAACCAAATTCAAAGTGAATAAAAAGTCGCGTCACATCAAACTACTGCTCTAGATTATCTTCCAGGGTGTACAAAATGTACCGTCTTCGACGTCAAGACACAATTCGTAGTACACATGCAACAGCTTGTGAAGCTCACAACATCAAGAACCAACGAAGTAGTTGTAAAACCTGTGAAGGTAGGAGGAAGAGATGTGCATACGCATAATCGTATCGATCCGCTCTTGAATGAAACTACACCTACAGCTACAGCATTTGCTCGTATATGATCACGCACATGATCATGAACACGACAGACTTATTTGCTTTTCTCACCAGGACAGAATCAGATTCAGATACAATTGATATGAACAAGTCTTACTGTCGCTACCAGCTGTAGCTCTCACCTCTCAGTCTCATCGTGCTCTTGGCTCGATGTGGAACAGAAATCATTTATGAATATTGGAGTTATAATTTTATATCGCTTTCGGCGAAAGCCTTTCGCTCGGTGACAGATATGCTTAGTTGATGGGTCAACGTCTATGCATTCCACATTGACGTCGCTTGTTCTCCTGACACATCAACAGGTTCTCTCGGTTTATCCTCGTAACCTTTTTGCTGAGCTGAATAGGAAAAAAATGAAAAGGGCTCGGGTAGATATTGTGGATGCAATTCATTGCGTCCAGGAGCACTACTTCTTTTTTGCGTATAGAAGAATGCCAATGAGCGCTACCACGTCTACTTTCGTACAACAAACAATGTCAATTTCATCTGTGTCTCTTAGTCTTACTGCCCCTCATCCACACAACTATCAAGAAGCAGTAGAAGATGACGAACCGCGACGTCCTCCGAAAGGCTTCCCAACGATTTTTGAACCTGCACCAGTCGTGCTAGAGGAAGTTCTAGAATCGTTCATTCTAGAAGTAGATGACTCTACTTCGTCATCATTAGAATAATCAGCTTCATAACCTCTCATTCCCATGCCAAAGTTGTTGTAACCGTTGCTGGACGAATCCATCACCAATTCTAGATTGGTGTCTAGAGCCGCTTTTGCAGGTCGTTCCCGGAGTCTATCAATCGTTCGCATGGCTGCCATGACTTTCTTCTTCCCTTCGGCCTCGACATCTGCACCTGACATTCGCAAAGACGCTGCCCACATCAAGGTTGAGTGATCTTTTTCTTTCAAAAAATCCTCAACGGGAAGCGTTTGGGCTATGGAAAACGGCAAGGTTTCTACAGACGAGGCCGGTGGCTTCGTGTAATTCGCAGCATTTTCTGGCATGTACAACCGCCTTCGACTATCGTCGACTAAAACCCGCGTAGCCACTGCATCATAGTCAAAAAAACGCGTGTTATCTCGGTTTCGCATCTTGTGATGGCTGTTTTTATCCGTCTCATCCATATCTTCCATCTTCGGATCAGGTCTCAAATGCCTAACTCGATACATCTGTGGTCTCCTTGCTTTTGACCTTTGCTTTCGGATAGCTTCTGTCTTACTAGCAGAAGACAAAAGCCAAGCACGTAAGACTGACGTTATCTCATCGTCGAATATCATTTCCTCATCGTCGAATCCAAGTTCATCTTGATCTTCCTCTCCGAGTCCAAGTTCATCGCCGATCCCGTCAGACCCAAACGTCCTGTCCGCGTCATCTTCGAGTGCGCCCTCACTTCCACCATTCCCGGTGGTCTGTCGCGAGGAGTGACGAGAGGAAGAAGATATTGACATTTCTAATTATTTGTTACAACTTCTCTATCTTCGAAAGTTGATCATAGAACTCGAAGCAGGCACACGAAATGGGAATTTCTTCTGATGTTCTTAGCTCCTAGACGGTCAATAAACCAAAACGGAACACTATTTCTAAGTTAGAAGATGCGAGCGACGAGGGAGTAGTACATTTTGAAAAAACAATTTTTACGGATGGTAATGTATTACAACGGGATACGTTCTGTGGATACAGATAGTTCAGCAGGGAGTACAATTTCATATACCAACATAAATGAAGGCTGTGAGAAAAATTTGCAAGCGCGGTTATGTTATTAAGGTTGCACAACTCTACCGTCTCTCGGGGGTAATGAATCATGATATTTATAGTACTCAGAAATACACTCTCTCATCAAGGACAGACGGGTTGTCAAAAGGTACTATAGGACTGAAAGGACAGAGGCGATGCATCAATGTGATACTTTATGCTAGGGCTCTCATAGTCATACAGACCATTCCTGATCTCCACCAACAGAGTCAATCGCAAACGTTGATTCTCAATACAGATTGAAAGACATAGTCTTTATTTTCACATGGCACTTGAACTTATCGTAGCCCATCTAACTCTTCTAGTACTACTAGTCTCTACTCCTGGGCTCTCGTCATTGCTAAGTGAGAATTTTGTCCTCGGGGAACCGGAACACAAGAAAGTATCTCGAATCCAGAGAACCAGGTGTCATGATGCACGACAGCGAACAAGCGCTGTGCTCTCGTTCGGCCTACGTCTCACGCCGGAACCACGTCATCACCTATACCTCTTAGTTGTACTATCAGATGTCCTAAGTACCTCCATCGTAATTTTTACAACGCAGTAATGATGACGTAATTCCGTCAACATGAGCTGAGGCAGGGGCAGGGCGAGGCGGAGAAATGAGTATGAAATAAGTCGATCCTGAGTAACAATAGCGGAATTTAGATTTAGAAGTAGAACAAGAAGATGAAGTCGAAGTCGAAGTTACTTATAATATAATATAATATATTCATTCTTCTTGTTTTCCAGCTACAACTTCATTCTCCTCTATGCTTTTACTCGCCAGCGCGGTCAGTTCTTCGACTTGCGCGATGAGTCGGTCCAGTGTTTCTTCATCGACATCTTCTGTTCCACTGTCTTCGTCTACTACCTCATTGTCTTTATTCTGACTACCGTTATCGCCTTTACTGCCGCCGCCTAAGCCTTTCCCTAGCTCATCCAGAAGGGCTTCCACATCAGCCCGCCACTTTATCTGGCTCTTCCTAGGTAGAAGTAGTAGTGGCATCTTTAACAGTGCATGTCTTGCTCTGAAAGTCCTAGAAGTAGGCTGTGGAGACGCTTTCGGAGAAGATGTTGTCGGAGAAGCAGGAGGAGGTGGGAGCATTATTCTACTAGGTGAAGCTCCAGCTGCACGAGTACCAGAGGAAGGTGAAGTTGTAGAGTTGTCAGCAGGGTCCTCAGCTGCATCTTTATCGCCACGAGGACCACTAGTGTTTGTGATGTCCTTGTTATCGTCCCTAGTTGTAGCCCTACTAATGAAGAGGTCCTTGTTACTCCTGGCTGTACTTCCTCCAGTAGGTGTGACAACGCCTTCTGAAGATGCCATCTCTTCCTCTAGTACTAAGGCATCAAAGCTCGCTAGACTGGACTGCAGCTGCAACCGCAGCTCCTTTACAAGTTCGCTCACTTGTAGGGCATCCTTTCCTGCGTCTTTTCTTGTTAAGGGGAGACCGGCTTCAACGTAGAGCTGGTCCTCTGGAGATGGGGAGGCTTCATTCCCGCTCCCATCCTCTATGGGTGAATCTACAGGCTGACTACGGACATAAGCTTTTTGTTGTGCGGCAGAAGTAGACGAAGTAGAAATTGCACCATATGATGGTGGTGGCTCTTTACTTCTTATACCTCCTGAGGTGGACGAGGTCATAGAAGTCTTTGCGTTTGGCTTTGTCCTGTCATCAATTCTCTTCGAATCTGTAGATGAAGCATTGTTTTTTGTGCCAGATCGTGGAACTAGTACTGGTAGTCTCATTAGAGGCTTAGGCTCCTTGCTTTTGGATGACCCTGAGGAGCGTGAAGCAAAGAACATATTCTTTCCAGTACTGGCAAGCTTTCGTGTCAGCTCCACTACAAACTCTTTCTTGCTCATTGACTCTATTTTGGCACGGCGAGCAGCAACTTCATCAGACGGCGACGAGTACATGGTTGACCCCGAAGATTTAATATTATTTGTTGTACTTGCTGTACTAGAAGTTGCACCTCCCATAGAACTAGGAGTAGTTTTGTGTCTACTTATTGAAGAAGGTGCACTGCCACTGGTTGTGGTCGTACTACCACTAGCTTGTCCTTGTTCTTGTTCTCCTCCTCTCGACGCTGCTGAGCTTGTTGTAGTTCCAAAACCTCCTGTACTTCTACCTTCAGCGCGGAAAAAGTTGAAGATTGTTGAATGAAGGCCTATTTTACGATAGCGAAAGATAATCAGTGGTGGCCAGATGGCATTCGTGGCTGCAAAGATGTACTTCCAGTTTTTAGTACGGAGGAAGAAATCATTCTCCAGGAACCCGAAATGCAGCACTGAAAACACCACGATGCCGACAGCAATATCGAGACCCGTTTTTATCTGAATGAATGAATGAATGAATGTGCCTAGCGCGAGGTCAGGAAGAAGAATCATCTGATTATGAGTCTGCTGCGTGTCGTGGGAGCGAGATAGCGACAGCATCAGTAGCTATCTGGCTAATCTGTAAACTAGAGGAAGGCAGACAAGAGTGTGCGACAGAGTTTTAAGGTGAAGAAGGTGACGTTTGCGTAAGTCAGTGATGTAAGGACAACAAACGACTCTTGCGATGCATAGAGTTTGTACAACTTGTAGTACCTGTTGCCCATCCCTCGGCAGTGCCAAAATACACGGCTTTCGGAGCTGCCATCTTCCGGCATAGACTATTGCCAGGATGGGAAGCAGCGTGGTGAGCCACCGGGTATTAGAGTATTGTGTCCACGCTTGCTGCACGTTCAGCAACCACACTGTGAAAGTGCTCCATGGTAGGGCTAGATAGCACAGCAAAGGAAAGACTGGTGGTGCTGGTGGATTCGCGTACTTTCTTGGTAACGAGCTGAGAAAGTAGAAGAAGCGACCGCTGTAGTATAGCCCCGCGTTTATCGCACTCTGGTAGACGGCTAGCAGAAGGAGCAGCTTGTAAGTGAAAAACGAGCTCGCAAGCAGGTCAAAAGAGCCGAATGTTGCGTAGAACAGCAAGTGGTAGCCGGCAACGAGCGAGGGAAAGAACGCGTCGTAGAGGTAGCAGACGTAGGGGCGAAACTGTGTTGAGATGGATCGAATTAGGGAAAAGTGTAAGTTTTTGCTGGAACAGGGAGGAAACTCTTGAGCGGAATAAGTACATCAGAGGAGCAGAAGGGGACGAAGCGTCGTAAGTCAGATCATGTAGATGAAACGAACACTCAAAACATTATAACACTGATCACATTCACGATCACGAGGAAATCGATTTGACAAGATCAATACACGCAAGAAGCACAAAAATCTATCTAAACATAGCTGTAGTTGTACCAACACGCCAGACAACATTCCAACCACACCGCCAGAGCCAGTCGTGTCTGTTTTCATCTTACTCACGACAATATTCCGATGCACTCTGGCCATTTCGATGACGCAAAATGTGAGCAGCGCACCGGTCCCGACAATGTGCAAGGCCTCGAAAGTATGAACGGGGAGCAGACGTCGGGGTACAAGTTCTGTTCTACTAATTGTAATTAATTCTAGTACTTCTTTGTCTTCCCTTTCATAAATAACCAACACAGTGAGGAAATGGAGAAACTTCGGAATCGCTGGTAGGACATTGTGCATCGCCGAGAGCGGAAAGATCTTCTTCCTGGCTTTTTTCAGTGCTCTCGAATTTCGGAAGTCCGAAGGCTTCGGCTTCTGTTTTGACAACGGCATTTGAACTGTCGTGTTCTAACAGGGAGAGAGATGATTAAGAACAAGATTTTGATTTATATTATCAATCTGATTTCGACTTTATTTACCTTTTCGGACGATCATGAAGTTGAAGACCAAACCGAATCTAGTATTACAAATATTTGTTATCGTTTAGAAGAGTGATTGAAGTTGAACTATATAATTCTATCGTTCTCTTATTTCTACTGAACTACGTACATCCGTCGAGTTTCTATTATGCCATCCTGCTCGCTGTCGCTCTTGTTGTAGAAGTCGACTTATTCTTCTACATTTTCATTGTTTGCTTGGGTTGTAGGTGTAGCCATTACGTAGAAGTAGAAAAAACTAAAACTAGTCAAAAAAAAAATTAGTCACTCGGTTGTCCACCTCAGTTGCTTCTCTTCACAGTATACTAATGCTTCTCGACTCTTTCTCGTATATCGCTCCCTCTCTCGCGCAGCTCTCTCCCTCTCTCTCATTACTTTTTCACGAAAGCTCCGCTTGTTCTTACTGTCACTCATCCTTCAAACACTAGCTTATGAAGTAATCACAAAGCCGAAAAAAAGTATACATCAATATCTGCTCGGCACTCGTTAATAATGGTATACAGTGAAGAGCTTCACATGCTGCCACACTCTCCTGTTGCACATTCTTGTTAGGAAGACTCACGTGTGCTGCTGTGTTATAGCCCTAGCTCAGGTTCCCGCAGAGAAGTGGATACATATACAATGTTCATTCACATTTTCTGGATACAGTGATGTTCATTAAGTTTTGTCTTCGTGCTGCTCGTCCTCTTGAGGGGGTTGGGATGTGATTTAGTCGTTTTAGTCGGGGTCGGCCTGTCCTATTCTTTTTTGGGAGAAAATGTGATGATGAACAGATGTTGAAGCTCATTTTTATGTGGTACTTGTACGACTCATTAACGTTCCTAAAACTAGATCCGATCATGGTTGTGCTTCACGGTCGTTTGTAAATGAGATCGATCCCCACAAGCAACATCTGGAGGTGGAACTATATGACAACATAGACATTTTCAGAATACTCAATCTCAAGGGAACAACGATAATTTCTTTGATTCAACATGATGGTCAATACTTCGTAAGAGGAGCTGAGATGAATTTCGATTTCGTTTGCTAGTACTACCAATTGTGTTCAAAGTGGAATAAAAATGAATGTGACTCATATAGTTTTTTCGTAAGGTAAATGAAATTGAAAACAATCACGAGATGACAAGATGCTGTGCAAAATTCGTCAATGTGCTTGGAATGTTAATAACAACCGCCTATTGACTGATCCCGCGACTGTCGGTCTTTTGCTGTAGTCGCCTACTATCTAGTCCTAGGAGAAGTAGAGGAAACATCCCTACTTCATCAGCTGCATCTTCATACTAAACCTAGAAGAGGACCCTTAGTCCCTGAAACGTAAAAACCTCAACATACCTCTTACCAGCTCCTAGACTAGTAATAAACCAAAATATAGGTCCCGCCCATGATTCCTCCTTACGATTCTCTGTTTCCTAGGTCCTAGGTCCCCATTCCTCCTCAGGACGAGGTAGACTTATATGAGGATCTACACTTATAAACATAGGCCTCTACTCCTCCTCGTCCACTTCACGATATATCTCCGTTTAATCGTAGTCTTTGGGACGTCTGACCTTGACCCGATTTTTGAAGAGCTTGTCAAACGGCACGTGCTTCTCCCCAAACACCCTAGGCGCCATTGAAGGCATCGGATGCAAATACTGGTGTCCGTACACGTTGGCGCTCACCTCACTCGTTCCGGCTTTCAGGAAAGATTGGCAGTTAGAGATTGAAATCATCTACCTGGTGTAGCTCGTCGCTGTTGATCTTGATCTTGATCTTGATATTCTTCGTCAGTGATCGTGATATGCTAAGTACGCAACACTATAGGTCGCTCTACTAGTGGGACCGAAGCCAAAAAATGGTTGTACCACCACGACACGACACCACACGCAGTTTATATAAAATAAAATGAGCAACTCGTTCCAAAGAGTGTCAAGGTGAAGTGTCATTTAAAATGTAATGCTGTTGTTCTAGACTGACGATACAGTGAAATTATCAATCTCTTCTAATGACCTTCCTAACTTAACACTAAAAAAACAGTAAATCTAAAACTCAAACAAACATAATATTGAGACTGGTATTGTGCGGGGCAACGTCGAGAATGCCCTTCTTGCCGACGACGTCCTTTAGGTCTTTGATGATAGGGTTGCGCAGGTCCACATCCACGTCAGATCGTGTGTCAAAGGGAAAAGAGATTAGAATGTGATTGAGACAGGAGGACTTTTCGGGGTAAAGTAGTAATCTTGATCTTCTTTTTGAATTTGATCCAAAGAATGGAGGCAGCTGAAACAAAGCAGACAAAAATGGCTCTCTTAAACGATAGTTCCGCTTGTAGTCTGTTTTTTCCTTTGCCATTTCCGGGACGCCACCTTTTTTCGCGATGAGCTCGTCCAAAGTGAAGGATTTCCCCAATGTCCTTACTCCATCTTGTGGTGGTCGCGCTCGACCTACGTTCTTCATGATCTTGTTCGAATAGAAAGGGAATGAACGGGGTGTGGTGGAGGTGGAGGAGGATGGTGAAGGTGAGTTGGAGGAGGAGGAGTAAAGGTGAAGGTAGTTCAAATAGTAGTTGAAGATGAAACAAAGCCTTATACATTCAAAAATCCAAGAGCCTTAAGAAGTATTTATCGAATAGCGGTGGGTTTTCTTCGGTATAGACGATGGGAGCGCTGACGTAGCTCCCGTCATTCGAAATGACGTCCTTGATCATGTGAGAGTCGTCACGACGCGCCCCGTAGCTTCCATTGCGGGCCTTTTCGCGCAGAGCCTCCAGGATTTCTGCATTGCCTGCTCCGACCGACTTACTGCGCTTCTCTTTCTTCTTCTTTTTGTCCTTCTTCTTCAGACCAAGAGTATCACCGAGTGCGCCACCGGTCGGCTGAGCACGAACAGCGGGATTAGCGCTGTGCTAGTGTTCTTCTTCTTGTTTCTATATTAGGGTATTATGTCAGGATTCCTGAGCAAGCAGAACTACCTCTAGGTCTAGTAAGTCGTAGTTGAATATCAACTAAGAGTGCTCAAGCAGAAGAATTTATTATGATGCTTCTACCAAGTTGATGTTCCTCTACCAAACAGCTGTACCAATCAATACGATTTGAATCACTAATGTAGATGTACGAGAATCTTAACTGATGAAACGATACTGCTTGCAGTGATCGAGGATGAGACGTATGATGCTGCGCTTACAGCAGAACCGACGGCAGAACCGACTTCGGATCCCACATCGTCATCGTCAATCACCTTGCTGGCTAGAAGATGTGAGGTAGAAACGTTCGTCAGTTTGTCATCATGCATTAGAGCAGGACGTTTCAAGTAAGGGGAGGACGAGGTGCAAGTGTCTTGAGCAGACTTTTCTAGAATATTAGGAACAGTGATCAAGGTTGTATGAATTATCATACGTACAGTGGTCAACCAATCTTAACTCTCCCTGTTCACCCCCACCATCTCCTTTGCCTGCGCTTCCTCCATAGTACAGCTTCGGTAGCTTCTTCGCGACTACAGCTGCAAGAGCATCCAGTTCATTCCCAGGTTCTGGCTTGATCTTAGAGCTACCGCAAGATGGGCATCTTGTTCGTTGGGAGCATGATCCTTGGGCTTGGGTGCTTTTTTTTCAAGTAGAAAAAGAGAATGTTGCAAGGATTCTTATTCTATCTTTTTCAAGTAGAAAAAGAAGAGCAGACAGGGATATTTGTAAATGTATAAATATTGGTGTTAAGGACGACGACGAGGAGATGCAAGACAGCTGAGGATTATGTTGAAATGCAATTAGGAAAAGAAGAACCTCCATGGATCATCCATGGTGTTAAGGACATGCAAGAGCCAAGGATCATTCAACCATGGTGTTTTTAATCCGATCATGGTTTTAAGGACTTTTTAGGACATCCTGAAACAGTAGCCTTAATGATCTCACCAGTACGGATCTTCTCTGCACGTTGTTCCAAATAAGCCCATTCCTCACGCTGCTTTTCAGCCAAGCGTGAGGAAGTGGCGGAGCCCGCCTGGCTGGAAGGCATTGAGTTCTTCTTTTAATTGTACAACTTCTAGTTCAATTGGTGGTCTTATGCTTCATCTTCAAGAGGACAACATCAACCTCATTCTGGCTTCGCGACACTCCCGAAGGAAGTCGATACCATGATGCTATCAAATGAAATTTTCTACTTATAATGAATACTTCTATTTTTTTGGATTTAGATTTTGAGATTGAAGTGATGTAGTTGATAACGGATGAGTCACCTGATGAAGAAACGCGATTATGAGGGGCACGGCGATTGATGAGTTTGGGGAAGAGAGGATATGAGGATGTGGGTCGAGTCTTCTTTCGCTCTGTCTCTACAAGTTTTCTTGGACGTTTTTCGAAATCCCGATTGTTCATCCCGATATCCAATACTCAACCAAGGACGGAGAAGCATTCAACACTTCCGATATAGATTCCGATACGAAAGCAAAATATAGTTGGGAATGTTGATGATGCTCTCGTCATCTCGCACTTTCGTGACTTTCGACGAAAACAGAAAAACTCCTTACTTCTGTATGATGACCTGCAGCCACGTCGTGCTGCTTGATGACCTACAGCTCACATTCAGCAGATATCTTTAGCGCTTATTGTTCTTGCTTCGACACTTCTAGTGTTGGTATCATGGCAAGAAAGTTCATGTATTATTTACAACTGCGGGTCGTTCGGAATGAGGATCGTCATATCAAAATTTTGTTCTCCTTCTCACAAATCAAGATGAACGTTGGCAAAAGGAAAACATCAACAGCTCCAAAAGAAGTTTCCATGACTCCTGAAACACACTTTTTTCATCAGCCTCGCTTCATCGGTGAGTTGGACGGTGAGCCCGGTGGCACGGCTGCTATAGGTGTCATGTTTCGTATATCCTCGACCAGTTGCGGGATTAGAAGTCGTGGAAAGGACGGGTAGTTCTATTGCCTTTCGTAGTACTAGATTTTTTAGAGATGATATTCATATAAAAAAGATATTGAAATTGAATCAAACTACAATTTTCATATTTTCATGTTCTAGACTAGAAGTAGCACACATAAGTAGCCAGCAGGACCAGCACCTGTAGTTTTCATAATCTAAAAGACGGCTCCGATACGAATTCGTTGTCTCCACAGTAATCGGCAAACATGTCTTCTACCTCAGTGTCTCGAAATCCTAGATCCGCACACAGATCTCTTAATCGACCTTGGTCTAACCTGAGGAGGAGGTGGTGGATGTAACTGAGGCCTTATAGATTGGTCTAACTACCTCTGTGTGACAACTGTGTGCCTGTGTCTGAGGAGGGAAAAAATACTACTTACGTAAGTACTTCTAGTTGTTGTATCCCCATCGTCTTGGAAGTTAAATAATGAGTAGTACTTGTATTTCCTATTTAGTACTTGTATTCCCTTAGGAAAATAATGAGTACTCGTACTTTCCACCTCTTGGAAGTCGCGATCGACGACCTGAACATAACTTCTGAGTTAGTACTTCTGAAAAAAGTGATATTACTTGTATCCTCTTGAGAGTCGGTGGAACATCTCTTTCACATCTATCTCGGAGTCGATGTTTAGTCTGTTCACTTCCTGCAACGAATTCACGAAAATTGGGTACTCGACTTTCGCCTCCTTACCCTCTGTTATGAGTTTGAATAATTGTAATTCACACAAGAAAACAAGACAAAATTTAAAGCTTAAATCAATATTAGAGTAATTGATAGGGGTGCCAGATCGGGGATGGGATGGATCGGATGGAACGGATGGACTTCCCACCATTTCAAGTAGGATCGGAAGAATCAGGGGGGTCCGTGATCCGATCCATCCAAGTCCATCCTACATCCGTTCTATAAACTACTTCTGTACAATTATATCATAAGAAGCTGGACATGAGCAGCTTCTGCCTAAAAATACCATGATTAACTTTGACGCATTCTGTGGAGACTTGCTTGAGGTATTTCTTTGGATCGAGGCACAAAGCCTGAAGGGCCAATTCTAAGGCGTCGTCGCTGGACACTGCGCACTCATAGCCCTTCTCATACACTGTGTAAGCATCACGCAATTGTTCATCTGTCAGCTCACGGGATACCATGTTGACTGTTTATTTTTGGTGTTTCTTGAGGTTGAAGGAGATAATGTTGAGGGTTCGTTGTGGACGATGTTGACCACGATGATGTCCTAGATGAACAAGGTGCACAACATGTTGCACGCTGGTAACTGGTTCTTCGTGTACTTTTGGGTTAGAAGTGATCTTGTAAGCTTTTTCGTTCTCTTGTTCTCGCCCGTGCCTGTGGTAAATCAGCAGGAGATCTGATCTCGGGTTAGCACAACAAGACCGGAGATCGTCTGTTTCCTCTAGTTCTCTGTCTTCGCGAAGATTCTCTCCTGGCACTCGTATCGTCGTGCCAGCTAGTATAAGGCAGCCTCAGAGTATCAAAGCAAAAACGCGCTTCGCTTCAGGTTAATCCCTGCTTTCTCGTAAAAGTCGATATCTCCTAGCCCAGTAGCTCGAAGAACCAGGCTGGTGCTAGGAGCGATGAGGCATAAAATGTGTCCCTCGTTGATGTTAAGACTCCGTCTAAAAACAATCGCGACAAGCCAACTTAGACTCGCTATTCAACTTCGCTACTTTTTTAAGAACTTTCCCACCACGAGACGTAGTCAGAGGTAGAAATTACTGATTTCTTGTTTCTATCGTCAGGAAGGATATTTTCATCGAGACAATTATTTTAGTGAATTTTACCTTTTTTTGATTTTCCTAGTACCTCCACTACAAGCACATCGAGATGCTTTGCTTATACGATAGGGTTTTCCTTCCAGCTTTTGTCTCTGTTTTTCTTTCCGGCTAGCGTTTTCTGTCTCTCTGTCTCTCTCTCTCGTCTCCTCTGGACTCCCCTGAGTCAGGAAAACGAGCATCATCGCTGAAGGCGTGGCTGCAAACTACCAGCGCTGCAGAGCAGCAGAGCGAAGATTCATCAAGTAAAAGGACTTCTGACTTTTCACCGGTAGTGCTGGTGACGGTTTCTCTTATTTCCACGCTCAGATTTTCTGATTGTCGTTCTTGGGTATTCATTTTCTGTTCAAGTATTTCGTCTAGTTTCATTGTCGTATGCGTATGGCTGTTGTTGATGTGTCTGTCCTCTGTGGGTTTGTTAGAACATATTTAATAATAATAATATTAGAATGATAGATTTCTTAAAAGTATTCTCTTCTTTTTCTTTCTCGTGGCCATAAAAACGTAATACCATCCTTAGTACTTCTTGGAAGTCGCATCTATTGCTGTTTGCATATCCTGTACAGGTCGCCTCCGCCGAAGTTAGAGCTGAACTTCATTTGGAGAGGACAGATACGTACGGTTGTAGAAGCAAGTAAAGGTAAAGCTATAATCAATATCGGTATCCTCACTATAATGAATATCTGTATGTGTATCCTCAAGCGGCCTTAACTAAATCAGCCAAGGTTTTGGTCGTGCCAGTGAACTTGTTAAAAAACGCCGTTTTCACCGCCATGTCGTAGTAGCATCCTGGCAATTTCTGTGCACTATCGATCAGATTCACTGTGGCGATCTGGGTTTTGATTGAGTGATTGATTGATTGGGATGTGGTGATTGACTGATTGATCGAGATTGGGATTGGGTGATTTATTTAAATATATTGAGAAGAATGGGATTGGGAAGATAGTAGAAGGTGTTTGCGTGGTTTCTACTTGACTGATTCAGATGGGAGGGAAGTTCGCAGATTGCACAAGGTGGAGGTGTAGTTCTTACTGTTGAGGCTGTCAGCACTGATTATGATTGGGAAGAGCCTTTTGCTTGATTACGTGGAGGATATCATCATTGTCATGCACTTTCCTTTCATTGCCATTCCATTCCATGAGAATTGTTTGTCTCCAAGAATCAAAAAAAAGGACTTTATTCCTTAGTACTGTTCATCCAAGTATCATAAACAAGTACTTTCCTTTCCATTCCCAGTTTCTGAATTGCGTCGTCGCACTCCTCAATGCTAGGTAGGGTGTTTGTGGCAGCACAGTCCTTGTTTTTGTCATTCTCGGCATAGAATGTCATCAGCGGGAATTTCGTGGTACCTGATAATTTAAGTAGTAAAAAAAGGACACTGTCAACAACATGATCGAAGAGGATGTTGAAGTTCTTCACATTCATCTACTTCTAGTTCTACCTCCACCTCAATAAAATTTTCATCAAGATCTCGAAACATGGTCCTGTTCCAAGAAGGCTTCTAATTACTTTTTGCTCTAGATGCTACTTGCATCAAAGCGGCTTTTCCTCGCTGCTCCTTTCTCCGTCCGATATGCTTCCACACCACCACTGCAGAGGTGGGAGCCACAGAGCCGATGATAGCCGAGTAGAGTACTGCTTTTGCAGAAAGCAAAGAACTACGCATTTCTTCTTGTTGTCCTCGGACAAGGGTTAGGATCGGCGGAATCAATTTACCACGACATATAGTCGTGCCCCCTCTTGCACTTGCTCTTCACAATGTTGAAAATTCAAGAATATTTATAAATATTTGATGTGGTAATACTTTTACATCTGCTATCTCGACCATCATCAATGGTCATGGCATCTCGTGGCTTCTGGGCAAGCATGGGTGGAGTAAGTTACTTGGAGGCACCAGCTTTAGCTTTCCAATCTCGCTTAGGAGATTTTCCTCCACATTTCAACACTTGTTCTATCCAAGTTTGTTGTTGTGCGTTGTCGCTAGGTCTCTTTTTGCTCTACAGTTTTAGCTTTACAGTCAAGGAGAAGGACACATCAAAAAGCTTTCACAATAACGAAGCGTGCCTCTCAGCACACAGCGTTTGCCGCGTTGATATTTATAAAAAGTACTACTCCATTTGTTCCCCATCGCAATCGCTAAGTAATCTTCTTCATATCCATATGCAGATGTGGTGATATGTTGAGTTTGAGTATGAATTATACTTCTAGTTCTACTTATTTGAAACTTAAGAATCATCCAACATGCTCACGGCACGATCTCTCGACTTCTTGGAATCAAGTTTGGACGAAGCGACTTTTCTTCTTTTTTTCCAGGAGGTAGGTTTGGAATTTTGCTGCCAATTGATCTTCTGAACAGTCTGAAGCTGCGCTACTCACTCGTAGCGCTTCCGCTTGGACCGCTGGGTCGTGGTCACTACATCATTTTCAAAGCTGCGACGTGCTTTAAAATGCCGTGGCGTTTTCGTCGAAAGTACCTTCTACGGGGAGTCTACGGGTTGTAGTTTGTTCGGTCACGGGGAGTGAGCTATCAATGCGGAGAACCAGACTACTATCAATTTTATCGCAGCTTGATCGAGTTACGTGACGGAGTAGGAAGAGATTGTATGGCATAAAGGCTCGCGGGGACGATTGGGATATGCTCTGTACATTGCCAAACGCCTTTCTCGAGACCAGAGTGACGACGAGTATCTATTTGGCAAGTGATGATGTGGCATAAGCACTTGTATCTCATTCTCAGAGAATGATGTTGAATGGACTAGAGTGAATTTTTATCACGTGTAAAAATGTACTTTTCATCCTCAGACTGCTCTTCATCCTCAGAAAATCAAAAATTCCAATGAACCACTTGAGTGAATTTTTAGAGAAAATCTGCCGCACCATCACCAACACCACCACCAGCAACATATACATAGCTACTCAAAAACGATCATACTAGAAATATATTGAGAGGAAGATAGGGGGTACATTTGAGAGCATGCGAAGTAGACAAGAGAAGAATTCGACTTGTAAGTTCATGATGATCGAAACAGATTGCATTTTATGCTTGTCGGGTCTTTCCACGAACGGATACTTGATATAGTTGCAACACGAAATAATAATCGTTTATGCGACGGCAGTTCTTAAATTATATATTGGAGAAAAGAAATACGCAATTTCGAACTCAAAGATAGAAAATAATTGTGATGTAGTTGTACTAGTTGTGATTGCTTGTAGTTCGTTGTAGCTTTCATCAACAAGTGTCATTTTCACATTCACTGAAGCAGTATCATAAATGTGAACAATTCAAATTGAGATGAAGTTGACATCGAAGCATTAGCGCTTTCCTTTTCATTTGATGATGATGACTCCAAATAACATCGACCCCCAGCTGCAGCTCCGAAGGGCGCAAAGCTAAGACATAATTCCACTGCAGGCCAATCTTCCCCGTCTCGTAGACAAGGTAAAAAACGTAACAAGTATCCTCTTCCACCTCACAGATCTGAAGATGAATTTCGGTATCAATTTAAAAACAGAAGCGTGTTGCAGCATAATTGAAGTTTTACGTTTACCCTTGTTGTCGTTTCTCTATGAAGATTGATGATACCTGGTTAGCGATATATGAGATTGTTGCTGTAAAACAGAGAAGTTTGAGACTGTTTTAGAATTTTCAAAAAAAAACTGATGATGTCTAGCTACTACTTCTTCTATATATTATAATCATCAAATAAAAAAGGCAGTTAGTTAGTTATTATGGGAGGCCTGGCGGTGCTCCAACATCATGCACCCCGAGAGTCGTAGGCGGGGCCCAGTTAGTCCGCGAGTGTTAGTCTGGCCGCGGTATGTCACGCCGTAACACAGGGAAGCGCGAGGCAGAGGCGACCCCGCCCAAAGCAGTCGCGGCCAACAGGGACCAAAAGGGCGCGGCATCCGGGCCAAGACGGCGAACTACGTCGCACCCAAAAAGCCGGCTTAGATTTGCAGCGCCACTGCTTCTGCGGTAGAATCGGCGGGACTCGCCAAGGCAGTCGCGTGACTTCATGGCGAAGCGCTCTTCAGCCAAAGAATGTCGCGCAAAAGCGCGCGGCCTCGCGTCCTCGTCGCAGCGATTCAACTTGGGCAAAGTTTCCCATCTTTATCCCGGCCCGCCTGTCGCTCTATCAGAACAATGGCGGCGCCATATACAACAGAAGGAGTAGAAAAGTACGCGCCCAGCTTTCTCGCGCCACGCAGTGGCGTCATGTTGTTATTTGGCAGCGTTCTGCCTCGGCCTCCCGTTACCCATTTAAGGAAGACGGGAATAAAGAAGATAAGTATTGATATTTATTGATACACGTCGTCGAGCTTTTTTCGGGGTGCAATTGATCCACTCACCAGGGCAAGGCGGCTGGTTGACGTCGATAGTGGTATAATTGGGTCCGAACGATCACAAAAATCGAGTCCATGGCCTTGCGAAAACAAGAACAAAAGAAACGGAAGCAAACTCCGCTTACCTCGAAGGTAGAGAACCTGGAAGGGAAGAGAGAGAAACGAGACGATGTGCTCGCCTTGTGCCCATCCTCATCTTGTCTCGAATTTGAACGACAGATGAAGAAAGGAGTGCCAGGCAGTAGTACTCGATTAATTATCACAAACAAGCCGAAGCCATCAACTACTACATCATTCTATTATTCGGTATAGCGAACTCGAAGTGCTAGATAATACCTCACTGGTCTGGCCACTGCCTTCTAGGGCTAGACGCTTACTCTTTCCTTCGTCATATGAAAATATGGCAAAGGCAATGCAGCTGCCACATAATCCTCCTCCACGCCTCCGGTGTAGGCTAAAAATATTCCCTCGGTTCCTCTCCCTGCCACATTTGAAATAGAAATAATTAGGTTTAAGAAGCACGCTGTGCCAGTGACATTGGGAGTTCGTTCCAACATGAAGATTACAGGCATCAAGAACCTGAGTGACGATAGTAGCCCATCCAATGCAATAAAAAACAACATTCGTTGTATTTTGAAAAATATTCTAGTACTGTACTTTTCTATCTCTGCAGTCGCAGTCTGATCATTAAATGATTGCGTGTGGTCATTCGGGATCGTCCGAATCCACTCCAGAAGTAGGCTGGTCGATATTCATATATAAGGGTCCGAACGAAGATCACAGAGATCAGATCGAGTCCGCCACCTTGCAAAATCAAAATGTCGGTTACCAAGATACGACTGAGCAACCTGGAAAGAGAGAGAGGTGGAGCGAAGAGATGTTTGTGAATTTGTAGACAGAAAAAGAGGAGAAAAAGACGAAACAGTGGATGGGCGTGTGCCTCTGACACTTCCCAGTTTCTTTGTGGAGATGAAATGATGACTGACTGATCTTGTTCTTCTCTTAGGTTAGGTTAGGTGTGGGCCTACCAGGAAAACTGGCAGACATGAGTGGCTGCTGAAGAGCCAAAAACAAAACTACGTTCTCTTTTAAAATCTGATCGATAAAAAAAGCTAGATGAAATGAAGTGTGCAGTACTCGACTACTCATAGTACAACCTCCTCTATAACAAGTAAACAAATGAGTATAACATTCAAGTAGCTCATGTTGAAATTTACAGCGAGAATATCCGGTATGGGCGGAAGGATAAATAATGTATTTAATACATACATAGTTCGTACCTGACAAACTATGTATCCTTTCTCCTTTCTGAGCCTGCTTTCATGTAGACACTTCTCCTGCTTCCTCGTCCTATGTGGTCATGGAACTGCTAGATATGGCCTTGCCACCTCGAAACTGGTCGACGATGTAGATGGTGGATGCAAATGCAACATGGTGGATTGAATTTCGAATGTACGTTGTAGTTCTGCACTAGATCGTGTGTTCGTGTTCTTGTTCTGTACTTTTTGTCATTTTCATTCATTACTTCCCCAGCTCAGCACTGCTACTTCTAGTACTTGCTCTTTACATGTCCTATGCAACACTTTTCATCCACGCCTATGGTTGTACTCGAAGAAGACACTTTCACTCTTCTTTAAATATTCAGTAGTTTGAAGATCATGTCCATGATTGATGTCCAAATTTGTTTTGTTCTTTCTTCTACTTTCTCCTCTTGAATGATGTACTTTCATCACGGTAGTTTCCACCGCACTGCCTCCTTTTTAATTCTAAGATGTTGTTGTTGTATATGTATTTGAAGATGTTGTAGTACTAAAACTTTTTCCACAACCTCAGTTCTTTGTCTTCTTCTAGACATCCGCCTTGGAAGATGTTGACGTCGCCTGATATTCCTGCGGCAGATTCTTGGAGGAGATGGAGGTAGCTTCATCTTCTGTAGTAGTAATATTCACTCCATGTCCACGATTTGTTGGTGGTCCATTGATGAGCTTTCGCAGGAATTTCCACAAGAAGAAGATGCAGAAAGCCAACACAGCCCCGCAGAATAAGGCGATCGGATCGCGAAAATGAAGCAGACGTGATCCCGTGGAAGTTGAGCTAGAAGGGGAAGCATCGACGACTGGCTGCAGAAATGCTGAGGAGCTTGAACGCTCAATATCAATTGAAAGGGTTTGGATCTGTTGGAGCTGGAGGAACTTCTGGATGTAATTACTGGCGTATTCGAGTTCCTTTCTGGCGTCTTCCGCCTCTCGACTACATTTCTGCCTTCTTTTCTCGGCTTCTTCGGACATTTCCGCATTTTTGTTATCTAGCACTGGGAATCCTTTGTTGTGTGGATCTTCGAGTTGGACTTTTTTCTGCTTCGAAATTTCCTTAGTGACATTTTTCTTGTACTTTTTTGCAAAGCACTCGTCGGTCGACGCCTTCTTTGCTTGTTTTTGTGCCACCTGTTGCCTTTTCTCGGCAGCTTTGTGTTCGTCATTTAGCCACTGCTCGAGATTACTACTTGTTGTGGGTACTGTTCTTTGCAGAAGCCACTGCGCGGTCGCCGTCAAGCCACTAGTTGCAGCCTCAGCCGTCGCCTTGTCACCGAGGAAGCGATCCATTACCACTTTGGCTGCTTCAAAGGCGTCTGTCGCGCGTTTCAGCTCTGCCTCTTTCCGCGCGTCCTCTTCCTCTAGGCCTACACGAACACGACTAGCCGTATATCTACTTGTTAGCCGTACTAGTTCAGCAGCTGGTGCAAGTCTTCCAAATCTTGTTGCTGGTCGTGCCGCCATCAATTTCTTCGTCTCCGATTCTGCGAAAGTCTGAGCTACGTGCACCACGGCGACCCAGGACTCGTGAGCATCCTCTACTGCGCTCCTCGCTTCAATTAGTTTTCGATCTGCTAGTGACGTTGCCGAAGTAGAGGACGACATTTTGTCCAGCTCTTGCTGTTTTACTCAACAAGAACCCGTGGCAAAGAACAATAAAGTAAGTTTCTACTACTGTTCACGGAAAGCTCAGTCTGCGACTCCCGTAGTTGTACAACTAGGAGCTGTTTGGTGGGAATCCTAATCCTCGCCCATCATAATAATGACTTCTTTGCAACAATACGACGCATTCACATGCGCATCGCATGATCATCAGAACAAGCGAGAACAGCTTACCCATACCCTGACAATCGTTCTAAAACCAAGTCGAATCTACTTGCTTCGATAACACGACGCACGTCCTCTCACAGTTTTGGCGTCTGGCTCACCTCTCTCGTAATGATCGTCCTACCCGTCAAACTTTCAGTAGATGACATAAAATAAAGTAAACAGCGATCCGCTACGATTTGTCGCTCTTAGCCACTTCTAGCTTCTCTCTACTTCGAATTTTCCCACAGCTCACGAGGATTCACGGACAACGATTTTGGATTTGGATTTGGAGATATCGAATGCGAAACGACGTCGACGTTAGTACATCAGTTCGCCGTCTCCGTCAAAGAAGTGCATTGATTTCGATGCTATTCTGTAGCGGCATTAATCACTCACTTCGACTTCTGGCCAAAACACAGCATAGTAGTAGTAGGAGTAGTAGGAGTAGTAGGAGTAGTAGGAGTAGTAGGAGTAGTAGGAG